GACAGCTGACACGACGACCACGAGTGTCCGTAGTGGTAAGTAACTACCGGATCAGCGTAGAAGTCACCTCAGACTTCTTCGCCAAGGGGAACACTATGGTGTAGCGAGAGTAGTCGTCAACGACCACCAGAAAGAAACTCTCTCGCTCAGGGCCAGGGCGAGGAGCGGGGCCCCAGATGTCCAAGTGGAGAGTCTCAAAGGGCTCGGTGGCCAGACGAAGGGAGGAGGAGTGAGGGGTGGCGCGCAGCCGACCCTCGACGCAGGGACCGCAAGGTGGTGCAAGCGAAAGCGGCAGCGACGGCAAGACTCGCGGGAGGCCTAAGACAAGACGCTGACTAGACATAGCGCGCAGGCGAGGAATGGACGGGTGCCCCATCCGGTGGTGCCACAGAACGGTGGGGTGGGCAAGTGACCGGCAGAAGCAAGACGCAGCAACTGGACCAGACACGTGAACCTGACCAGATACAACTACCTGGTGAGAAGCGGCAACCTGGTGAGAGGGGGGGACGTGACGGGGGGCAGTGACAGTGGTCGGGGGCAGTAGCTGCTGCTGCTGCTTCTGCTGCCGAGGCCCAGTGTGAATTGTGTAGAGACCTGAGCCCGGCTCAGCGGTAAAGGTGGCCAGAGGCGCGCACGTGTCCCCGTCGACACAAACCGCAGTCTCGCCAGAAGGCTCAATCTACACACCCACATGCTGACTCACGAGTGGCCTCACGCCCACCAAGTTCCTCGAGAACGAGGGGACGTGGAAGCCGGTCAGAGAACCGGAGGGAACAGCCGGGCACGGAAGCGTTGTAGTATAGCAAGCAATGACTGGTCCCAAAGTGGGATCAGCCAGTGCCACAGATGCGGAGATAACTACTACAATGGGAGCTAGACTGCGGGCTAGGCACGGATGCTCGTGTGATCTCTGCGTTCTCTGTTCCTTAGTCATTTTCCTAGTGCACACACTGCTTGCTAGGTCACGGGGCAATTTGGCATGAGTTTTTCTCTAGAGAAAGTTGACAACAATGGTACAATGAAGTTGGCATGACAAGACTACATCAGAGCTAGCATTCAGGTCGATCGACTGCCAGCGCAGCATGGTCGACCACGTTCCAGCACGACTTGGTCGACCGCGCTCCAGCGGTGCAAATTCGACGGCATGCCAACGCTGCAGGTTGTCGGCATGCCAGCGTTGCTCCCGCAGAACAGCAGCGCACCTACTTCGCAGGTGCTCGCAGGTGATTGGCAGGCTAAGCCTCGTCACCTGCACAACGCACACACCGTGTCATCCTCGTGCTGACGACTCCACCTGATCCGCCACGTCAACCTCGGGATACCACCCCCGAGGTCAGCCTCGCCAACATCGCATGGGAGACCGTCGCACTCTTCCGCAGAGCCTCGTCACCCAGGTAACCTGGTCGACCGGGCAATCACGTCGACCAGCTACTCCTGTATGTGCCCGTCGACCTCCCAAGTCGACGACCACTCCAGGTCGGCCTCACCAGGTCGACCACACCCTTGGTCGACCAGCTCCAGGTCGACGTCACTCCTGGTCGACCAGCTCCATGTCGACCAGCACAATTGTCAGCCGACCACCCAAGTCGGCTACCCGAAGTCGGCGTCACCAAGTCGGCGCCGACTTCTAGGCCGACCTCTTGAAGTCGGCGACCTCCCAAGTCGGCGACTTCGCAAGTCGGCGACATTGCAAGTCGGCAACCTCGCAAGTCGGCGACCTCGCAAGTCGGCGACCTTGCAAGTCGGCGACCTCGCAAGTCGGCGATCTTGCAAGTCGGCGCCGACTTCCAGGTCGACGCGCCACATCGCTGACCACCAGTTGAAGTCGGCCGCCGGCTTCCCAAGTCGGCGGCATTGCAGTGGCCCCGTGCAAGTCGACCAAACCCGTCGACCAGCTCGCCCAAGTCGGCGTCGCCCACTGCCGCAAGTCGGCTGCACCTCCCGTACACCCAATCACGAAGTCGGCTCCGCCCAAGCGAGGACGAGGCCAACAACAACTCCCATTGACAACAGATATCGGCGCAGGAAGCGGAGTAAGCATCGTATGGTCGCGGAAGAAACAGCGCGAAGCTCCGGAGTCCAGAGTGAAAGACAGCGAAGTGTCCTCCGGAGCAGCTCCTGGACTAGTATCTACACAAGTATCTGCGCTAGCCACAGGCACCTCAGCAACACTAGCACCTAAGCTAACAACACTCAAGTAAACAGAGTCAGAAGCACTAGAATGAACAATAACATACATAGCATGAGGAGTTCCTAAGAGATCAAGCAACTGAGAAGTCGACATGCTCCACAGAGCGGGGCCGTACGTCTGAACAAGGGGAAGCTAGTCAGGGGCAGGGCCGTCAACGCCGTAGGCCGCACAAAGTGTGTGAGTGAGCTGAGCAAAGCACTGACCCAGTGCGTGGGTGCGGCCACAGGGGAGGCCTCGGCGAGCACCTGTCTGAACGAGGTAGGTGCAGGGAGGGTGGACGGCGCCACGCGACAGCTGACGCGGTCCTGATCCATGCCCCGGATCCTGCTGCTGCAGCTGTGGCTGCTGCGAGAGGAGGGGCTGCTGCTGCTGCTGCTGCCACTGCGCCAGGTACCAAGCCGCCACTCCAGCACCTGCAGCTGGCGGACCAGCAGGTGCCTGACAAACCCGAGCGTCACCTCCACCAGCTGCAGTAGAGGAGCCACTAGCCACTGCACGAGGCGCTCCTCCAGCCTCTATACTACCGCTACCGCCGCTCGCCACGCCACCTCCGCTGCCTCCGCCGCCTTCGCCCGCACCCTGACCGCCCCTCCTGCCACTCCTACCCCTAGACCGCGAAGAAGTCGTAACAGCAGCTACGGTCACGTCAGTAGCGGCAGTGGCGAGGGAGGCAGTAAAGGTGGGCAGCTGAGGGACAGTGCACCCGCGAAACAGTGGAGGGGGCACAGCACCAAAGGCGGAGGCTACTGGGCGGAGGTTGCTCTCGACGTCCTTGAGGGCAGACTCAAGGACCTTGATAGTGAGCTCGCTAGGGTGCTTCAGAAGAAGCGCGTCACGAACCGAGGCGAGGCGGTCAGGGAGACTAGTGGCGATGAAATAGATCGTAATCGCCATAGGGGGAGGGAGCAGTGCAAGCTGCCCGTGAGTGCAAGCAGCGCGGTAGCTAGAATCAAGCGAGCGCAGGTGAGCGATCAAGTCAGCAGAGCGCTCAAACGAGGCGAGGTCAGGAAACAGGAATGGGAGGAAAAGTCGACCAAGAGAGACAGTGGTGGGAGTAGCGTAGCAGGCCTTGATCGCAGTCAGGAACTCACTAGCAGTGGGAACCTGAGTGAAATGGGCCTCCTCAGACTCAGGGAGGAGGCTGCTAAGGGCGATGCAGGCCGCAGCGTCACACGACTTCCACGCTGTCAAGTCTGCACGCTGGCATGCATAACGGTCTCTGTCTGCAATGCTAGTGTGAGCGTCTAAAGGTGCAGGGGCGGGGGGCGCAGGAAGGTCACCGGAAGCGTGCTCCCACAAAGACTCGTCTGCCTGAACCTGACTCTCTAGGAGGCGGCGCACACATTGGAGCCAGACCGAGAACTCGAGTGGCCTACCCTCGGCGTCAAAGCGCAGGACCCTAGGGGTCGCCATAGCGGAAGCGAAGGGGTGGAAACTGCTGCTGCCGAAACCCTAAACGCGTAAAGGGCCTAAGGAGGGCGTGACAGGCAGTGAGTGGGTGAGGCTCAAGGCACTGCAGGACTCTAGGGTAGGGCGCCACGAGGCGCTACACGGCAGGCAGGACGGGACGCGCGCGGCTCGGCGCCGCGCGGCAGGCAGAACGGGACGGGTGCGGCGTGGCGCTGCGGGACGGGCACGCACGGCGCACGCGACGGGACAGACGGGACGGACGCGACGAGCTAGACGGGACGGGACGAGCGTGACGCGACGGGACGGGACGGGACGACGGGACGCGGCGCGACGCGACGCGGCAGGACGGGACGGGACGACGGGATGGGACGACGGGACGGGACGCGACGCGACGGGACGGGCGCTACGGGCGCTTCGGGCGCTACGGGCGCTACGGGGCTGCGGGCGCTACGGGCGTCGGGGGCGATAGGCTAGGCGCAACGGGAGCTAGGGAACGAGACGAACCGGCGCGAGAGGCGCTAGGGGACGATACGGGTGTAACGGGCGCTAGGGAACGAGACGAACCGGCGTGACAGGCGCCAGGGGACGATACAGGCGTAACGGGCGCTAGGGTACGAGACGAACCGGCGTGACAGGCACTAGGAGACGGTACGGGAGGAACGGGATCCCAGAGGATCCTAACCTAGGTGATACCATGTCAAGAACGGAATGGTGATGTTCATTAAGGTTGGTTGGGGTACATAAACCTAACCCTAACTGTTGTACCCCATATGACACACATCACTAAGACTATAACATCTGACATCCCCTTACCTAATCCTTCATCCTTCTCACTAGACTCTAACAGAGGTGGGTACAAATGCAAACCCTAACGACCTATACTCTCTAATGCATGCATCAATACAACCCAAAACATAAAAGTTGAATATCCAGGGGTGTACCAGTATATCAGGTCTGTTGCTTTAGTTCCATACACTTCACAATCACAGCAGGTGAATGCTTCCTGTATGATTTTCAGAAATTGGCCAACATGGATAACCCATGTGCTGCATTGCATTTATTGAAGCCGCTAATTAATGATGAAACGGCTGTGTGCCAAGCAGCCACCCGTATTTCACATAGGCGATTTCCACTTCACCTGGAAGTCACAAAGACCTTTAGTCCGTTGGTCATGGAGAGAGTAAGCGACATGCTGTATTCAACCTTGTGGCCTGGCACAAGCGCAAGCCGGAAAAGACGAACTGTGCTGGCGACAATAGATTTCATCTGCGCATTCACACAGCACCATTGTTATGTTTCAGATCAGGCATGCTAAGGCTGATGAACCAGAAAATGCTGGACATAGATCAAGTATCAACAGCAGGGAATCAAGTAGTAACAGCAGGGAGAGGTTCAGTACCTGAAGATAGGCAAGGTCTCTCCCAAGGCAGAGGCGCGGCCCAGCATTGAAAGCCGGGAACTTGAAAGGCGATTCATTGATTAGTTCGCCATTGCTATCAAACCACCGCTCTGGCTTGAATTCTCTTGCATCAGGCCCCCAAATGCGAGTCATGCGACCCATTGCATAGAGCTCATACTGCACCCGCCAACCACTCTTGACGTGGGTCCCATCGGGAAGCACGTCATCCTTCACAACGTGCCTGCACATAATTGAAAAACAAGCAAGCTTGTGAGAAAAGCGTTTCATTAGAGAAGTCTGCTACAGCAACACCAGTGCAGTAGGGTTGAACTCACTTGAAATCCGCTGGGACAGATGGATAGAGCCGAAGTGACTCGGCAATTGCTGCATGCACATACTTCATCTGCTTCAGCTCTTCATAGGTAAATGCACCAAAGCTCTTGTCACCTGGAAAAGCAGCAGTCAACAAGTCACACCTCAGCCATGTGGGATTACAAGCAAGTGCAATCAGCAATCGTTCACCTCAAACACATTGCAGTAGATTACCCACGTTCACGTGCAGCAACAATTGATTGTACTTCCGCCAGGATCTTTTCTTCCACAGTAGGGTGCCACGTCAGCAGCCAGAAGAGCCAGGTCATGAGGACAGACGAAGTATCTCTTCCAGCAAGAATGAAATTCGTGCACACATCCCGAAGGAACCTTTTGGAGTACAGCTGACCGCCATCATCCTTCTCAAGAAGCATCATCCTGCAGACAGATCGAATATACACAAAAGAGTTGGTACACATCACAGAGACCCTTCAAGCTACAGCGTAAAAAGATGTATTCACCTGGAGAGAATATCTGAATGGTCAGTCACAGCACCATCAACTGCTTGCTGTTTCTTTTCGCTTGCCAACTCAGTGCGCCGATTTCTAATAACATCTTCTGCAAAAGAATATTTCCTGGAACCAAACAGCACACATGAACAGAATGTAAGGGGTGTTGAGCGAAAAACCCAGACCAAATTGAAGGAGGGACTTCGCGTTTGGACATACCTTCACAGCAGCGTGAAGCGTTCCCTCTTGGAATAAACGAAAGAACCTGAATGCCTTCCATACAAACTCAGGAATCAAGTTTCTGTAAAGTGTTGCCTGAAGAAATAATCAAACGCTAATGATTAGAAGATTGACAATTATGGCAGCAAACAGATGTAGATCAGTTAAAGGCATCTATACCTTTGTGGCCTCGTCGAATGCTCGTGCAAACGGGACTTCAGGAAGGCCCGGCTCAAGACAACCAGGGTCAACACCAAACCCAATCCTGCAGATGTTATCAAAGGTGTACCGCAGCAGAATATCTTGCAGGTCGACCGGCGTTCTCGTCATAGCGGCCTGCTTAACATCACCAAAGCCAGCATCGGAAGAAGTTATGCTCACTATGAATCAATCAAGGAATTTCTGTCCAGCCATTCCCTGGTACCCAAGAATTCCAGCGCCTTGTCTCACGCACCACTTCTAGGGTAGGGATGAAGCGTTGGAGGAGCTCTTCTTGGATGGACACCATCATGAGGTCTCGCAGTGACCTCTGGGAGAACTCGAGGCTGGCAGTCTTGCGCTGCTGCCTCCACACGTCATCGTCGCTATTGAATATGCCGTGCCCAAGAAGGTCTTCGAAGTTGGTCTGATGAATTTTGTTTATTTTGAAGTTTGTTTTTGCCTTTAGTCAGCAATGGCTTACAAAAGACTGCCATAAATTGCCTAAAAGACCATTTTGTACATACCTGGAAGTTCGGACCCTTAGGATAGTTGGCGAAATTGGTCTTGAGAATGTGCTCGAGGTTCTTAGGGTTTGCAGTGACGACTTCGTTGAGGCCAGGTGCTAGCGAGATGTAGGTCATCGTGGGACTAGCCTGATCAGGATCAACATTCGCCCAGGTTATGATGATGGTCGCCTGAAGAGCAATGCCACGGCAGAAGCTGTTACGGAACAAGCTAGAGGATTTACCTCGAGATATGCTGTCGCCCAGTCGTAAAGATACGGAAACGCCAGTAACATTTCAGGCAGCGTGCCGAGGATTGGCCATGCGGGAGGACCATAGCCTATCTTCTGCCTGTACACTCCGAGCAGCCATAAAATGGCGACGACGAGACACAGGATCGCGAGACTCGGAGCTAGGAGAACGAAGACGCTTAATGCGTTCACTCTCTCCTGATGAGTGAGGAGTGCGAGAAGAGCCATGCTGTGCGACGAAGTGCGAAGGAGTGCGACGCAGCAGGAACTACCCCTGAGTGATCCAAGTGCACTTTTTCAAAAATGCGAGAAGTACTTTTTCGTTTTTGTAGTGAACGACGTTACAGTGGGAATAAGGGTCCCGCGGCGACGAATGATGCTGAACCGTACAGATCCTCGCTGACTCGGCGACAGACGCGACGACAGCACATTCTGACCGTGCGACAGATGGCATTCGCCGACATATAACAGTTCCTGTCCGACTTGAAACACATCTCATGGTCTCTTAGCATCTTCTTGAGAATGACAATAGGCTCGCTCGAGGCATGTATGCGCTCAGCACAAGAAACACACGCTGAAACAACGCTCCCCGTTCCTTGATGTTGACGCGTGCTCACTGGAAGTCTGACGTTCAAGACGAGGTCCTAAGGACGCGGCACCTGTTTTCATTTTACAAGGATCGTGGCCTCACATCGATCCTGGCATATCGATCGGCACACCGATGTGCCCACACTGCAAATTTGCAGTGGGGTAGACACATCGAGCTATAGGTGCCAGGTTCGAAATTGCAGGCTCGGGCAGGTTGGAGCTGCCATCACACTTAAACGCGCAGCCAATCAGGGCAGAGCGTGGATGGTCGTCCAGCAATTCCACTCGCAGCGACTCAATAATTTTTGGCCTGCGACCGTGGGCGACGCCGAACGATCGAGGCTGTCACCTGTGGCGCGATATGCTCTCCCGCCAATCCTAACGCGCATGCACCACGGCACATCGATCGTGCGAGCTGCAGGTGCCACCAATTTGGGTTCCCGTTTACTGTACCTTCTCGAATTTCAGCGAAAAAAGGATACCAGGCCTTGGCGATGTCGCCAATACACTGTACAAGCGGCACATCGATCCCCTCCCACGATCGATCCTGGCAAAATGAAAACAGGTGCCGCGTCCTAAGTATGACTGCTTCGGAACACAGCACCAGGGCTTCTAGCAAAACGCACATAGATGAATTTCTCATTCCCCTCGAAATCAACAAATTCGCTGTACTCGTTATAGACGTTTCTTACAGTGGAATCCACACCTGCTCAAATGAAAATTCTACGTTAGAGAAGGAAACTCGATTCAGTTTGGATGAGTTTACTATCAACTTCCATTCGTGTTGTCCCGTACACAGTGCGCTCGTGAGTTGAACTGCAAGTTGCAGTTTCCGAGGCGCCTCTGCTCGGATTCACAAAGATTCATCACTGATTCCGATAGCTCATCAACAGGATCATCGAATAACAATCATCTATACCGTCAGCATGATATCCCTCGCTCACTCGATATCAACGAGGCTTTCGTTCTTGCGAACAGTTTGCCACCCTCCCGATAGTATCACTCTCTTTAAAAGATCAGCGAAACGTGCCGTCGTTAACCGTGTAATATCACAGGCGAGCAACAGATCGAGGCAGCAGATTCATTCAGATCAAGGAAAACGGAAGTCGCTTTTATGTCTGCCGGGTGAGTATCTGAAACAGCAGCATTCACACCAAAGTAATAGCTCGCTCACAAACAATCGCGGACATCAGCACTGGCAGCAGCACCAGCTGTTCGTGCAGCCGCTACTGACGTTTCCTGCTGCACCCCCGTCATGGCTATGTACACTTCAAGTACGGGCAGCTTCACGGTTTGTTGTGGCTGCCACCGGGGGATTCGGGCAGCCCATAAAAAAGAAGCGAGACAAGGTGGTGTACGTGTGCGATCAGTGCGGAAACGAGAGCAAGCAGTGGTGGGGTGACTGTTCCGCCTGTGGCGCGCTGGGCAGCTTGAAAAGATTCACGGTGACCGACGATGAGCCAGGCTCCGGGGGTGGAGGCGGGGGGCCAGCAATCCGCGCATTTGAACGGTCTAGAGGGAACGCGGGTAGCCTGGGGGGCAGGGAAGATCCGAAGAGGCGAAGAGCAGACGGAGCGAGCAGGAATGGTAGCAGTGGTGGCAGTGGTAACAGTAGTAGCAGTGGTAGCAGTGGCACTGGTAGCAGTGGAGTGAGGAGAGCATATCCTCGAACAGACGCTGGTGGTGTTAGCGGCACTGGCGGTCACATCACTGGTGGTCGCAGCACTGGATCAATGCGGCCAGGTGCAGTGCATCAGCAGCCGGACGAGGAGGAGGACGGTGAGGAGGAGGAGGAGGATGGCGAGGAAGGGGAGGAACGGGAAGAGGGGGAGGGTGACAGTGAGCAGTACAGCAGGACGAGAAGGTCAAGAGGGAGTGGTTTTGGTGGCTGGGTGAATAGCAACGGGAGAAGTGGCAGTGGTTATAGCAGCAGCAGTAGCAGCAGCAGCAGTGGTTACGGCAGCAGCAGCAGTCTGCTTCTGAGCAGCAGCAGGCCATGGGCGCGGCCGCTACAAGAGGTCATCGAATCAGCTGGCGACAGCTGGCACTTGTCACTGTAAGCAGCAAGTGCGTGCGTGCACGGATTGTGCTTTTGGGGCGCCTTAAAAGGTGGTCAAATCAGCTGGCGACACCTGGCACTCGTTCCCTTCCCTTCGTTCCCTTCCGAACCCAAAAAGTGCATGTGGCTGGACATCAATCAGTATCCTTCACTTCCCAAATGTCATTGTTCACTTTACCACGGCTTGGTTCACTTCTCTTGAAGACAGCTTTATTTGCTTCACCATAGCATGTACTTATGCATGAAGCCCAGCACCTCTTGATCCTTGCAGCTCGCCACACTCCCATCCACTATCTGTGCCCTCCTTTCATTCATCCATAGATCACCTTGTCTTTGCATTGCGTGCTCTCTCTGCGTGCCGGTGCCTGTCTCTGCATGGCTGTTCTTGCTTGCGCCTGTGCCTGTGACAGCAAGGGGCCGGAGGGCGAGGAAATCTGCAGAGTGCTGGGCGGAGGGGTTGTGCTGGGTGAGTGTGGGTGAGAGTGGGTGAGTGTGGGCAGTGGGATGAGATGATTGGGTAATTGTGGGTGGGGTGGGGATGAGATTAAGTGGGTGAATGTGGGTGGTGGGATGAGAGTGAGAGAGTAATGTGTGTGTTAAAGCATTTTTTTGTACGTGTGTTGGAGGAGGAAAGAGTGAGGCGGAGAAGAGAAGGGGGTGCCCGTGTTGGAAAGGTGGGTCAAAGTAGATGACGTCACTTCTTGATACCAGCATATTCTCTCTGGTGCTTGTTTGTGCCTGGTAGTAGTTTATTTTTGGATCTTTGCATAGCTCAATGCCTTTTTTTTATGTCTTGTTTTCAATCCCAACACTTTCGCTCCACTTCTTCCTGCCAGGTTCGCTGGTGCTCGTGTCTGGCAGCCCAGGTGCTGGGAAGAGCACTCTCCTGCTTCAGGTGAATTTCCAGACATGTTCGTTCTTGCTTCAGGTGCCTTTCCAAACAATCAATTTGTTACTCACCAATGTGTACTCCCTTTCCACTCCTTCCCCGCTCCTCCTTAGCCCTCATGGCTGTTCCCTCCCAGGTTTGTATGTGCAGGACGCAGGAAGCTGGCAGAAGCCGTTACATTGTAACCGTAATATGTATGACCCTTACCAACGGTACCCAACCTGCAACTGGCAGCGAGGGCTGGCATTTTGCAAAATCTGTAACATTGTAGGCCTTATGTGCATGACACGACCCTTTCCAGATGTTAGCGCCCCTTGGTGACAGAAGAGGCATTGGCCTAACAGAAGCAGCTTTTACATCGTGGCCCTGATATGCATGGCCCGGCCCATCACTGGCAGCTGGCAGGGCTGCTGGCACAGGAGGCGAGGATCTTGCAAAACCCGTTACTTTGTAACCCTAACAATATGCATGACCCTTCCCATCTGTTACCTCTTTCCCAGACCTACAGCCGGCAGGGCTGCTGACAGAGCATGCAAGAGGCTTGCGAAGCTGTTACATTGCCATAACTCTGACTAACTCTATGCCCCTTCCCCAAGTGTTACCGTTAACACCACCCCCTTGCAGCTGGCAGGGCTGCTCGCGGTGGATGCAACAAGGGGCTTGCTGAGCTGTTACATTGCCATAACCTTGACTAACTGTATGCCCCTTCCCCAACTGTTACCGTCCCTGCAACTGTTACTGCTCTGTCTTCATGTGTATGCCCCGTTGCCCCTCCTTTTCAATTGTTCCACTTTCCACAACCTGCAGCTGCCAGGGCTGTTGGCTGGCAGAGGAGGCAAGGGGCACCCTAACATTAGAAATGATCTATTTCACATACTTCATCTTCTCTTTCTCTTATCCTACTGCCCTTACTTCTCTCATTATCTCTTTCATCAATCCCAATGCCCCTACCTCCCCCACACTACAGTTTCCATTGCTCCACCAGTTCCTACACGACTTGCTGCTTTATTTGCAGCTGTTGTTACTCCCACCTGTACTAGTCATCCCTCGTCTTCCCAGATCACAGCTGGTGCCGCTGCTCTGCCTACTGGTCCATCCGCTGCTCCGCCCACTGGCCCCCCCCGCTGCTCAGCCCGTTGCTCCACCCATTCCTCCTCCAACTGCCCCTACTTTTCTCACCACCTCTTCCATCATTCCCACTACTTCTACCTCCCGCACTACCGTTTTTATTGCTGGCGCCAATGCTCCGTCAATTCCAGCACCGCATGCTGCTGCTACTGCTACCTCTGGTCATCCTCATCCTCCTTCCCACATCATAGCTGGAGAGGAGGAGGAGGATGGCTAGAGGAACTAGCAGAAGCAGTAGCATGCGATGCTGGAATTGGCGAAGCATTGGCGCCTGCAATGGAAACGGTAATGCGGGAAGTAGAAGTAGTGGGAATGATGGAAGAGGTAGTGTGAGAAGTAGGGGCAGTTGGAGGAACAGGTGGAGCAGCGGGCTGAGCAGCGGGCGGACCAGTAGGCGGAGCAGCGGGTGGACCAGTAGGCGGAGCAGCGGCACCAGCTGTGATCTGGGAAGACGGGGGATGACTAGTAGAAGTGGGAATAGCAGGCACGCTGCTGGCAGAGCAGGCAAGAGGCTTGCGAAAGCCGTTTACATTGCCATAACGTTGACTGCCTCTATGCCGCTCCAACAATTGTTACCATTACCTCCCCCTGCAGCTGGCAGGGCTGCTGGCATAGGAGGCAAGAGGCTCGCGAAAGCTGTTACATTGCCATAACCGTTTCTGAATCCATGCCCCTTCCCCCCAATTGATACTGTTATCTCCCCCCTGCAGTTGGCAGGGCTGCTGGCGGAGGAGGCAAGAGGCTCGCTAACAGGAGGCTCCCCGCTGGCTGTGCTTTATGTGTCGGGGGAAGAGGTAAGTAGGTGGGGGGAGGTGGATTTAGGGAGGGGGCTGGCCAATTTGCATGCTGCCGCGGACAGGAAGCTCCCCGCCGGCTGTGCACTATGTGTCAGGGGAGGAGGTGCGTTGGGGGAGGTGGGTTTGGAGAGGTGGGTCGGGAGAGGTGAGTTTGGGGGAGGTGGCTGTCCGGTTTTCCTGCTGTCACGAACAAAAGGCTCCCCGCCGGCTGTGCTATATGTGTCTGGGGAAGAGATAGGTCTGGCGAAGTGAGCTTGTGGAAGGTGGCTGGCCGTTCTCTCTGCTGCTGCAAACCGGAGGATCACCACCCGCTGTGCTCTATGTGTCGGGGGAGGAGGTCGGCTGGGGGGAGGAGGTGGGCTGGGGAAGAGGTAGCCTGGTGGAGAGGCGGGCTTGGGGGAGGCGGGCTTGGGGGAGGTGCCCTGTGCTGGTGGTGTGGTGTGTGCAGAAGAGTGGGCTTGGGTGGGGGTTATGCACACACAGCACAGGTGGTGGGGTGACCTTTTTAGTCGACTGAAAGCTGCTGTGCGCTGTGTGTCTGGGGAGGAAAGGTGTTGTTGATATTATGTGCACACAGCACAGCACAGGTGGTGCGTTGTCTTCTAAGGTGACTTCAAGACGCTGTGCTCTGCGTGTGTGGGGTGCCCTTTCTCCCTCCTATCGCTGCAGCATGACAAGCAGCTGGCCACACTTGCTAAGCAACTGGGAATGAACAGGGCACTTGCACCTTTTGCCCCCCTTTCCCCTCTTCCGCCACCCAGCCACCCTCCCTTCCCCCACTCCAACTTCCCTTCCCCCTCTCTCCCTCCTCTCCCCCCTCTCTGCAGCGCGAGGAGCAGCTGGCCACACGGGCCAAGCGCCTGGGCATAACTGCAGACAACCTCTTCCTGCTCTCCGAGAACAACCTCGAGGTACCAACCAACCTACATACCAACCAACCGGCTTACCCAACTTGTTTTGAGTGAGGACCCCGCCCCCAAGGGTCAAGCCTTCGGTAAGTGGATCAGTGGACCACTCCACTCGCTGGGCATCACTGCTGCCAACCTCCTCCTGCTCTCCCAGAACAACCTCGAGGTACGAGCGATAACCAACCAACTTAACCGGCGAGCTTACCAAGTCGACTTGTTTTGAGTGAGAACCCTGGGAAACAAGTGAAGGTAAGCAAGCATGTGCCCAACACTCCACCTCTTGCTGGGCATCACGGCTGGCAGCCTCTTCCTGCTCTCCAAGAACAGCCTCGAGGTACGAGTGAGAAGCAATGAGGTGCAAGTGATAACCAACTGCCATACCCCCATCTCCACTCGCTGGGCATCACGGCTGGCAGCCTCTTCCTGCTCTCCAAGAACAGCCTCGAGGTACCAATCTCATGCCAGAAGTTCCTACTAGTTTGCAAGAATCTCCTAATATACCTTTAACTCGCGAACCTTCACTCGCTGAGAAATCCTTATACAGCCTTATACCTCGTGCGACTCAATACAGGCTAGATTGGGCCCCAACCAACCCAGCCCGGCCCCCAGCATCACTTCTCCCTGAGTGGACATGAGCGCGCCCAGCGTCCAGTCCCCTTGCACTTCCCACCTTCTCTCCCCACCACCACCTCTCCCCACCACCTCTCACCACCTTCTCTCCCCACCTTCTCTCCCCACCTTCTCTCCCCACCTTCTCTCCCCACCTTCTCTCCCCACCTTCTCTCCCCACCTTCTCTCCCCACCTCCTCTCCCCACCTCCTCTCCCCACCTCCTCTCCCCACCTCCTCTCCCCACCTCCTCTCCCCACCCCACCCCCTCTCCCCACCTTCTCTCCCCACCTTCTCTCCCCACCTTCTCTCCCCACCTCCCTCCCCACCTTCTCTCCCCACCTTCTCTCCCCACCTTCTCTCTCCACCTCCTCTCCCCACCTCCTCTCCCCACCTCCTCTCCCCACCTCCTCTCCCCACCCCCTCTCCCCACCTTCTCTCCCCACCTTCTCTCCCCACCTTCTCTCCCCACCTCCCTCCCCACCTTCTCTCCCCACCTTCTCTCCCCACCTCCCTCCCCACCTTCTCTCCCCACCTTCTCTCCCCACCTCCGCTCCCCTCTTCCACCTCCTCTTCCCATGGCAGAGATTCTCCATTTTAATTCACATCCGTGAGCTGTGACAGACAGCAGACTCCATTTGCTGCCCTCACTGCCTCCACCTATTCCCCACAGCCTTCTTCGCTCCTTTCCCACCTGCAGGGCATTTTCTAGGGATCATGGGAATAAACCGCGAGCTGTGATGGTGGACTCCATTCAGACCATGCGGTGTCCCCACTTTGGGGACCCCATCCATGCACTTCCTTTCCTCACCTCCTTTCCACCCCCCCAGAGCATTCGTGAGGGCATCACGGAGATAGAGCTGTGTGCTGCGATTGTGGACGCCACTCACTGCCCTCATTGTCACCGCCCCTCCCTAACTCATCGTCCCCACAATCCTGTCCCGCTCCCCCCAGAGCATACTGGAGGGGATCACAGTCACAGATACAGAGCCGCGCGCTGTGATGTGAGTTCATTCAACCCCACCCCTCCTGTCCTCTCCCTACCACCCCTCCCCACAACCTTGTTCGCCCTTTCCTCCTCCCAGCGCATCCTGGAGAGCATTTCGTAGATATAGCCGCGTGCTGTGATACTGGACTCCTTTCTCTGCCTCACCGCCACCTCCACTCTTTCCCACAACCCTCTTTGCCTTTTCTTTTCCACAGAGCATCCTGGAGGGGATCACGGAGATATAGCCGCGCGCTGTGATAGTGGACTCCACTCACTGCCCTCACTGTCACCTCCTCTTCCCCACAATCCTGTTTCTTCCCTCCTTTCCCCCGTCAGAGCATTCTTGAGGGAATCACGGAGATGGAGCCGCGTGCTGTGATAGTGGACTCCATTCAAACCATGCACCTGCCAGGTGTCACCGGCTCATTGGGCAGCGTCAGCCAGGTGAGGCAGGGCTGAGGGGGAGGGGAGGGCGGAGGAGAGTAGAGGGAGAGGGTGAGTAGAGGGAGAGGGAGAGTAGAGAGCGAGGGAGGGTAGAGAAAGAGGTGGAAGCAGCAGCTTAGGTAAAGAGGGGAAACTGAGACTATGTAACATGTGTGAGGGGATGCGTGACAAAAACGGATGCGATCTCTGTCTTGAATGATATCGGCTCTCATCTTTCCTTCCTCTCCCCTCCTCCCCTCCCCTCCTCCCCTCCCCTCCCCTCCCCTCCCTCCCCTCCCCTCCCCTCCCCTCCCTCCCCTAACCTCCCCTCTTCTCCCCTCCCCCCCCTCCCCTCCCTCCTTTCCCCTCCCCTTTGCTCCCCCTTTTCTTCGCAATCTCTTCCTCTCAGGTGCGGGAGTGCACGCTGCTGCTGCTGCTGGAGGCCAAGAACCGAGGCATTCCCATCTTCATTGTAAGCCAAGCCCTTTCTGACAATTCTCAAAGGTACATTGTGAGCCCCGCCCACTCCCACATTGCCATGTCGCTCTTTGCCCTTTCCCTTCTCTTCCTTCCCGCATGCTGCTGTTGCTACCGTGAGGCCAACCGAGGGATTCTTGTCGTGATTGTGAGCGGCCTTTTGGAATGGCTGTGATCTAGTGTAACGGTTTCTCAAGAATTTGTATGCATCGATTGTTATCACTCCCCCCCTGTATCCCACACAACAGGTGGGTCATGTGACTAAAGCGGGGGACGTGGCGGGGCCGAGGGACCTGAAGCACATAGTGGATGTGGTGATGCATGTGGAGGTGAGTGAGTGTGAGTGTGAGTATGATGGGTGTGATACTAGTAGAAAGTAGCCGCCAGTGGCGTCAAAACTGGGTGTGAGTTGTCAAGGAAGGGGTGTGGTAGAGCCGACGGACCTGAAGCACATAGTGGATGTGGTGATGCATGTGGAGGTGAGTGAGAGTGAGTGTAACTGGTGTCTGGTAGGGAGTGATACTGGTAAGTATGGGCGTGTGGCAGTGTCAAGGGACCTGAAGCACGTAGTGGATGTGGTGATACGCGTAGAGGTGAGTGAGGGACTGAGTGTGACTGTAACTGCTGTGACACTGGTAGTAGGGAGTCGCGTCAAAGTTATGTGCAAGTTTGTCGAGGGTATGGCAGTGTCGATGGGCCTAAAGCACACATGGGGGTGAACGATGCACGTGGAGGGGAGTGGTGCCTTATTTACCAATGTGAGTGATGTGCATTTGGTACCATCACCACCTGCCTGCCACAAAGCGACTTCTGAGTCGACTCAAAGGTGCCGCGCTATTCACACATAGCCAGCGGCTAAAGGTGAGGTTGTACTATATTGTTGTTTTCTGTACTCTTGCTTTCATTTGTGTGCTTTGCATGTATTGTACATATTGATTCAGAGCCGAGGTGTTGGGGATTCGAGGAGGTTGGTGTGGGCAGGGTTGAGAATCCAATTCCAGGTTGGGAATTCGATTCAAGGAATTCTTTTCCAGCTAAATGGCGGTGCATGCCTAGTGGGCCAGTGGGACCCAGCTAGCACCTCAGTTGGCACGCAACTTGGCCCTGGAGGTTGCGTGCAAGTCAAGGAAGGCTAGGCAAGAGGATAAGAGGGATTTAAGCAGAAGGAATGCTCGTGCTCGATGTTTTTTGCTTGTATGCTTCTTTTACTACTTTCCTACCACGAAAGCAAACAGTAATAGATGCCGAAGCAAAAAGGATCGAGCATAGATGCGTACGGGAGGTAAGATCCGGAGATAGCTACAGCATAGAAGGACCGTGAGGCATGAGCAAGACCGATAGTGATCTGCACACTCATCGACTCTGATCGGGATAGCAGTATTCTGACAGGAGAAAGGAGGAACATGAGCCCCTGCCAGTCAAGTCTGACTTTCGGGCAGAAGAAGGAGATAGTGACGCGTTGCAAGAAAAAGTGACAGGTCCGCCGAAGAGAGGAGAGCATCGTCAAGAAGCGCTTCTTGACAATGCTCTCCTCCCTTCGGCGGATCTGTCACTTTTTCTTGCAACGCGTCACTATCTCATTCTTCTGCCCGAAATTCGGACCTAACTGGCAGCGGCTCATGTTCCTCCATTCTCCTGTCAGATAACTGCTGTCCCGATTGGAGTCGATGAGTGTGCAGATCACTATCGGTCTTGCTCATGCTTCACGGTCCTTCTATGCCGTAGCTATCTCCGGGTCTTAGCGTCCGTATGCTTCTATGCTCGGTTTTTTTTGCTTGTATGAAACAAGCCGCACTCTCCCCTCTCGAGGGCTTAGTCGATTTTCTTCGGCATCTATTCACTGCTTGCTTTCGTGGTAGGAATACGAATTACTTCACAACAAAGGCCAACGTGAGTGAGACGCACATTGCACCATCGCCCGCTTACTGCACTTCTCCCGCCTCTCCCCTTCGTTCAACCTCTCCCTCTCGCTCACCCTCACCCTCTCCCTCTCGCTCACCGTCACCCTCTCCCTCTCGCTCACCCTCACCCTCACTCTCCCTCACTCTCCCTCACTCTCCCTCACTCTCCCTCACCCTCACCATCTCTATCTGCCCTCCCCATCCACCAGAATCGAAAGGCAGCACAGCCACCGCATCCCGAGCACCAGCAAAAACCGTCGTGTTCTTTCTCTTGTCTTTCTCTGTTCGTTCTATTTCGGCCCCAAAATTACCATACATGACAGAGTGACAGGCAGGACAGCCACCGCATCCTGAGCACCAGCAAGAACCGATTCGGTTCCACTGATGAGGTACAAGTGGCGTGGAGGGGAGGGGAGTGCATGGAGGTGAGTATTTGGAAGGGAGTGCGTGGAGGAAGGAGGGTGACCATACCATACCCACCCACCCACCAGAGCGACATGCAGGACAGTCACTGCATTCTCAGCACCAGCAAGAACCGATTCGGCTCCACCGACGAGATGAGTGAGAGGAGGGAAGGGGAGTGCGTGGAGGGAATTGAGTGTGTGGAGGTGAGTGATTGAGTGGAGGGGAGCGTGTTTGTGGAGGTGACTGAGTGTGTGGAGGAAGGCCACCATACCCATCTATTCACCAGAGCGACAGGCAGAACAGCCAGCGCATGCTGACTGTGTGGATGGAAGTGTGTGGAGGTGTGCGGTTGTGGAGGACGGTCATACCATACACACCCATCCACCAGAGCGACAGGCAGGACAGTCACCGCATTCTCAGCACCAGCAAGAACCGTTTCAGGTCCACGGATGAGGTGAGTGAGTGTGTGCAGGTGAGTGGGAGTGTGTGCAGATGAGTGTGTGGAGATGAACCATCACCCATCCCACCTGAACTTAATATCCATCCCACCTGAACTTAATATCCATCCCACCTAAACGTTTTAACCATCCCACTTGAAACTATCACCTGGAATGCTGGATGAACGAGGAGGTGAATGATCACCCTAATGGGCAAGCCATCTGAAGCCTCATAGAGCTTCCCATAGGGTGATCATTCACCCAGGAGCGCCTCTTGTAGCAAATCAAGCACGTTATTTGGGTCATTCACCTCCTCGTAAAAGGCATTCACCAGGCGTTCGAGGTGCTACTAGGCGTGCCATGAGGGCATTTCTGAAATCTCACTGCAAGGGACTATTGCTCCGTTCTGTATCTTCCTTTCATTGGCTCGCTGCAAACGGCCTCCACATTTTCTCTCCCCCTACAGACCCTCTTCATTGAATTGAAACCCCTTAATGTCTTCTCCCCAAACCCCCCAACCCCCTCTTTCCTCCCTCTTCCTCCGCTCCCCTCCCTGCTATCCCAGGTGGGCGTGTTTGAGATGGCAGCACGGGGCATGGTGGCAGTGGCCAACCCCAGCCTCGCCTTCCTCCCATCCAGCCGCCCTCTGAGTCAACACTCAGCAGTCAAAGGTTCCTTCTTTGCGTCCTCACCCCTCTCCTCTCCCCTCTCCAACTTCCCTTCACCATTTCGGCGTGTTCGAGATGGCAGCGCAGGGCATGGTGGCAGTGCCCAACCCCAACCTCGCCTTCCTCCCATCCCATCTACCTACCATCTGATTCAGCAGTCGAAATTCCCCTCTTCGCCTCCCACTCCTCCCCATTGTCCCCCTCTCCTCTCCCTTTACCAGGTTGTGGTATTTGAGGTGGCCACACGTGGCATGGTGGCAGTGCCCAACCCCAGCGTCGCCTTCCTCCTGTTGGCTCAAAATGCCCCTCGTCCCTACCATCACCACGCCACTACCCCTTCCCGCCCTTCTTTTCAGGTGGGCGTGTTTGAAATGGCAGCACGCGGCATGGTAGCAGTACCCAACCCCAGCCTCGCCTTCCTCCCTGCTAGCCGCACGCGAGGCAGCGCAGCCGTGGCCGTGGTGATGCACGGGAGCAGACCTCTGTTGTTGGAAGTGCAGGTGGGTGGTTTGTGGATGGGGTAGTGGTAACAGGCCGTGCAGCGGTGGCTGTCGTGATGCATGGGAGCAGACCGTTGTTACTGGAGGTGCAGGTGAGTAATTCAATTGCTCTTATGGTGATATGGTATAGTGCCTCAGAGTGCACCTGTGGCTGTGGTGATGCATGGGAGCAGACCGTTGTTACTGGAGGTGCAGGTGAGTAATTCAATTGCTCTTATGGTGATATGGTATAGTGCCTCAGAGTGCACCTGTGGCTGTGGTGATGCATGGGAGCAGGCCGCTGCTGCTGGAGGTGCAAGGTGGGAGGCTATAGTGATGTTATAGTGGGATGGTAGACTGCCTTATATGTACCGCTGTGCCACACTCACGATTCTCATGTCATGTCTTCTCCGCTTTCGCCCCTCTCCTATTTCTCTCTCGTTCCCTTTCTGCCACCTGGCCCTAAAAGCCATTCCCAACATCCCACCCACCAAAACCGCCAACGGGGTGGACATGTACCTACTTACTCACCATCCTCGTGTCCTCCTCTTCTTCCGCTCCTGCCTTCTGTACCACCAGGCCTTATGCGTGAAAGCCATCCTCAACATACCCCCCACCAAGACCGCCAATGGGGTGGACATGTATCGCCTCACCATTCTCACCTCCTCATCTCCTCATGTCCTCCTGTCGTCCTCGTCCTCTTCCCCCAATGCACTGCAACACCAGGCCCTATGCGTAAAAGCCATCCCCAACATTCCCCCCACCAAGACCGCCAACGGGGTGGACATGTATCGCCTCACCATCCTCACCAAGATCATGCGCCACATTGGCTTGCCTATTGGCTCTCGGGTGAGTTCTCATGCAGCTGCACTAGCTAGTCTTCTCAGATCCCCATCCCCGTACCTATCCCTCACATCCTCACCATCCTCACCAAGATCATGCGCCACATCGGCATGCCTATTGGCTCTAAGGTGAGTGTGCATGCAATGCGCCCCACATCCTGTAGTAACTGTGATGTGAGCGCATAACTATCGCCTCACCATCCTCACCAAGATCATGCGTCACATCGGCCTGCCCATTGGCTCTAAGGTGAGTGTGCAATGCGCCCCACACTCACCAACTGTGACTTGAAGGCATAGCTATCGCCTCACCATTCTCACCAAGATCATGCGTCACATCGGCCTGCCTATCTGCTCTCGAGTAACCATCTCTTTTCCTTCACACGGGCTCTAACTAGTTTCATACCCATCCCAGCCATTACCCCTCGCCTCATCATCCTCACCATACTCAGGCACCACATACACCAGCCTCCTGCCTTCCACGTAGTTGCTTATTTACCACCTCCTTCTCCCCGCTCCCACACCAACTAGACTCGTTAGGCTGCTAACTGTGCCTCCCAGCCATACCTCTCGCCTCATCATCCCCACCAAAGCAACACAATGGTTTCCTCTGATCTTCCTGGGTACAGCGTCTCAATAATAAAATCCTTCATGGCTCAGTTTCTGGTTGGATTGCTTTCGTTAAAGTCCAGGAATGTATATGTTTATATATGTATGTCTTTGCATATGATAATACTTCTTCCAATGGTTGCTACTCTGGATTTTCATCACTGCTTTGCTAACTGATGTTCTTGCCACATTGTTGCTGCTGCCATGTTCAAGGCAACCCCCAAGTTTTAATTTCTGCCGCATCTGCGTAAAAAGCGTCAGCTCGATCTCAGCCACCTAACTCACATCCAGCCATCGCCCTCACCACTGTAGCGCCACTATCTTTCTTCTCGCCTTGCCAACTTGTCCCATCGCAACCCTGCCCCTGTAATTGTCACCTAGGCAACCTGGTATAACTGCTTGGCTGGTCCTGACAGGATGTGGTGGTGAACGTGGTGGGGGGCATGCTGAAAAAACAGGCGTGCTGATGACTTTACACATCTCATTTTCTGCTCTTTTCCCGGTTACCCCACCACGTGGTAACCCTATCTTCCCTGGCAGGATGTAGTGGTGAATGTAGTGGGCGGCATGCAGGTCAAGGAGCCGGCTGCTGACCTCGCCATTGCTGTCGCCATAGCCAGCAGGTGTTGCACCCTTTCCCTACCTGACAGCGTATACTCTTGTGCTTGAGTGTCGATCTTTTGTGCTTCTGGGGGGCATTCCGTGCTTCTGTGCGTGCATGTCTCCCACCTATCAACATCTTCTTTCAGCTTGCCGTGCTGTCCCTTGTTCTCGTGCGCGCCTGAACTGTCCGTCACTTATTCTCGGCCGTCATACCGCCAAAGCCCCATCACCCCATGCCTCCCTTCCTCCAGAACCGCATCATCTCATTCCCCACATTCCTCTATCTATCCCCCCTTAACTTCCCTGCTCCGCGTCACTCTCCTACCTCCAGTCTATACGAGAGCCCAGTGCCAGCAGGCACGGCCTTCATTCCTCCCTTCCTCCAACCTCCCATCATCGCTTTCCTGCTTTCCTCCATCCCCCCATCACCTCCTTCTCCTTGTCACTCCCCCCTGCCAGCAGACATGGCCTTTATGCCACAAAAACCCCATTTTGACATGCCTCTGTTCCTCCAAACCACCATTGTCTGATTCCCACCTTCCTCCATCCCCCGTCATCTCTCTGTCCTCCAGGATGGGAAGCTGATGCCAGCAGATATGGCTTTCATTCCTCCACCCCCCCATCATCTCCCTGCTTCCTGTCTCTCCCCTCCCACCAATTTGTGTGAGAGCCTGGTGCCAGCAGTCACAGCTTTCATGCTCCCTCCAAACCCCCATCATTGCATTCCGCCTTTTGTCCAACCCCCCCGTTGTCCCACTGCCCGCCAGTCCATACGAGAGCCCAGTGCCAGCAGGCATGGCATTCATTCCTCACTTTCTGCTTCCCTCTATCATCTCATTCCCTTCTTCTTCATATCCCTATTATCCCACTCTCCGCCAGTCTGTACGAGAGCCCAGTACCAGCAGACACGGCCTTCATTGGCGAGATTGGTCTCAACGGGGAGTTGAGAGGGGTAAGATGTCAGACCACATGGGACTCTAGCAAGCACAACGCACTTGCGTTCATATATATACATATATGTAAAATGTTTGAACATCTATTTTCCTGTATTTGTCGGAGGTGTTTATATTTCTTGCCCGATAATCTCTCTACACTTCTTGCTCAATGCCCTCTGCCAGGTGTCTCAGCTGGATCGGCGGGTGAATGAGGTGGCGAAGCTTGGATTTTCTCGCTGTGTCGTGCCAGCGAAGCAATGGAAAGGGCAAGCAGCGCCCAAGGGATGTGAGGTGGTGAAATGCGAGGGTTTACGAGATGTGCTGACGGCAGTAGGGATCCAAAGCACAGGCTATGGGGGAAAAAGGAAGGCTGAAGAGGAGGAATTGGAATTTGATGAGGATGACATGTAAAGTGAATGTTAGTAAAAGTGTATGGAGGATTTATTTGCAAGTGTTTTGTGTAACACATGCTTCGAGATTCCCCTCGCTAACGGATACTTTGCCCTTCGGCATTTGGCCGCGTCGTACACTCGTTGCTGACTCCGCGCATGTGCAAATTCACAATGGTCGTGATTCGTGACACGACGTGACTGTCGTACGAGAGAGTGTAAAGCATTTGGGAAATTCGTACGCTGATACCCGTACTGTACCGCAAAAATCAAACACCTGGCAAGCAAACCGTTCGCCTCGTACGTTCCACAAGGCTGTGGTCCAGTCGACAAGCCCAAGAAATGCCCGTGAACCGATTTGAACCCGCAATATAACCGCTGACGTCAGCGCCATCAAGATTCACATTCAGCCCCTTAGTTGATGCCAAACTGCTACTATTGACCACCTGAATCATCTTTTAGACTGCTGCGCTCTCTCCTCGCCCTTTCTCCCAAGCCCCACTTCCCCTTCCCCTTCTTCCCCCTCATCGTTTCGCTTCTGCGCCGCTTCTTCCGCCAACCCCTGCTTGCGCCGCCAATGGCGTCCCTCGCCGCACAAAATCTCTCCCGCGAGCTCGGCGCGCTTTCCGCCCAGCGTTCCGGCGTCGCGAATCTTCCCGTCAGACGAACCTCTGTTCCTCTAGCGGGTGTGACTAAAACGAATCGCCGCGTGCGGGCAACGGTGGATTCCAGCACCAAATCGCAAGGCACGCCGTCGAGTGCGGTCAGCCGTCGATCGCTGCTCGCCGTGTCGCTATCCGCGGCGACTCTGGCGCCGCTCCTGTCGCCGTCTCTCCCTGCGTTTAGGTACCCGGCTTTTCATTGCAGAAGCACCGTCGCTCTGGGATTCCTGCCTGTACTCGCTTCAGTTGTCAGTTGTCTAGATTCAGTCCACGTCGCAATCCCCCCCACCCGCTTCTCCCCGCGCCCCACTTCCCCTACCCTCCACCCAATTCTTCCCTTCCATCCTTCTCCCCATCCCTTCCCCCCCTTCCTCCCTCTCCCCCACTCCCCCTTCTCTCCCACTCCTCTCTCGCCCTCCGCGTCTCTCTCCTCTCTTTCTCACTCCCCCTCGTTCGCTCGTCATCTTTCCGACCAGTCCGGTAGCCCCAGCGCATGCGGCTGACGTGGATCTGACCCCTGCTGAGCTGGAGGCAGCAGTGCGACGAGCAGTGGCGAAGGTGGTAACCAGAGCCAAGGCGCCTGGCGCGCTGAGGATCGTGTTTCACGACGCGGGGACGTACGACCTGGCGACCAACACAGGTGAGACGACATGAAACGCTTTAACCACGGTATGATCAAAGGTGGCATGACATGACACGCACTCACTAGCCTAGCCTCGATGCTATCACATGTACCCAACGAGCCCTTGGTGCACCATGCACCTATGACGTACGATCTGCTGACCAGCAGGGTGACATGACATGACACGCTCTAGCCTTTGTACAGCCACGCCAGCACCTGTCAGCCCTGTCCATGCCTGTGGTCCTGGTTGTTGGCCCAGCCTGCTACCCACTGGGTTCAAAGGGCATGTTTGTATGGTGGGTAGGTAGCACACCCATAACTAGGTAGCACACCCATAACTAGGTAGCACACCCATAACTAGGTAGCACACCCATAACTAGGTAGCACACCCATAACTATGTAGCACACCCATAACTCCCCAGGACGCACCTGTAACCCGTCCGCACTCAACTGAGGAACGATCCCAGTGGTTCCCCACCCACCCACCAACCAACCAACACTGGTCACATGCAATGCAACATGCCCTTTCCATGCCAACACAGGTGCGGTGTTCCCTTTCCATGCCAGCGCCGCCGAAGACAAGAGGAGAGAGGCTAGAGGAGGCTGCATACTACCTGTCTTTGCACTTGCAAACTCAGAGGGCACGCGCGATGTAACTTACAGCTTCAAGTGGCTCGCGCGATCCAGGGATTGCTTTTGAGAATTCTCAAAAGTGGCCCGCTCGACCCAGGGATTGTCTCTGAAGTTGGCGTCTGTCCAGGCAGGCCCATGAATGCTTGCTTCTCAACCCGTGTGATGCCTGTGTGCGTGTCTCTGTATCTCTGTGTCGGCTTGGGTCTGTGCCTGTGCCTGCATGTGTGCCTGCATATGTGCTTGCATCTTTGTGTGCGAGTGATATGATACCGTGGGCGGTCTGTTCTGGCAGGTGGCATGAACGGGTCAGTGCGCTTTGAGTTGAAGCGGCCGGAAAACGACGGGCTCAAGCGAACCATCAAGGTAACCTCCTCCCTCCTCCCTCCTTCCTCTTACTCCGCCTGAAATCTCCTCATCCCTCTCAAATGCATCTCAAGTCTCTTATTCATTACCAACATGCATTTCCACCTCCTGCTGCTCTTCTTCCTCTCTCAACCTGCTTCTGTTTTTCCCCTTCATGGTTCCTGATTCTTTCTCCGCACGTTGCTCAAGTGCCGATTTCACTCCAATCACAGCCCTTCACTGACAAACATTCGTCCTTCCATCCATCCCTTGCTCCCTTTCCCCGTCATGTCCACACCACAGCTAGTCGTTCAAACGCTTTCCTCCCCACTACCAGGTGCTTGAAAAGATTCGCTTGGGCCAATCGCCACGCTGGAAATGGCCTGGCCTGGTAATGCTCAACTGCGGTGACTTTTGAGTCGACTCAAAAGTCACCTCTGGGCCAATCGCCACGCTGGGCATGACCTGGTAATGCTCAACTGCCATCGCCCACTCGACTCGATTCCCCTCACAGCCCTTCAATGATTCGCGTTCTCTCTTCCATCCATCCCTCCCTCCCTGCCCCCCGCCAGGTGCTTGAGAAGGCTCGCCTGGAGCTAGGGCCCCTGGCAAATGGTAAGCCGGACTGGGAAAGGCAATGGATGTTGGCGCATGCATGCATTGCATTGGGGTAGTGGCATGGCATGGTAACACATGGCACATGCCCTGTTTTGAAAAGTCTCAAAAGTAGGTGCTTCGCCTGCACCTCACCTTCACTACTGGTAAGTCGGGCTGCAGAATGCAAGGGATAGTGGGCACGGTTTGCTTTGCTGTCTGTAGTGGCATGGTGGCACATGGCACTTGCCAGCGAAACAAAACTTAGCTGCTTGGCGCGTGAATTGTGTGTGACTAGGTGGCAGGCACATGCGCTGGCAGTGGCGGGGAGCATGTGCCGTGCAGAGTGCTCTGCCTGATTCTTAGAAAGCTCAACACACTGTGGACTCATGTGCTGTGCTGCAGAGTGCTCTGTGGACTCTGTGCCTCGAGAAGATGGCAGCGGAAGCATGCGCCCCGTGTGCTGTGGACTCACATGCCTGTGATACCTGCACTGCACTGCACCCTCTCACGCCCCCAACTCCTCTCCCCATTCCGCTCTTCCCCTGCCTCCCCCCTTCCCTGTGTTGTCGTGGGCCGATCTGATGGCAGTGGCGGGGGGATATGCAGTGGAGTCGTGTGGCGGGTGCCTGTGTGCTTGACTGCACCTTCCCACTCCGTCTCTCTCCCCCGCGATTCCTCTGCCCGTTCTCCTCTCTCTTTTTCCCTTCTCAGTGGTGTCGTGGGCCGATCTCATGGCAGTGGCGGGGGCATATGCAGTGGAGTCATGTGGTGGGCCGCACATTCCTGTGCGCATGGGCAGACGCGACGCCAGGTGAGGGGCGGGCAGCAGAAGGACTGTTTGTCTGTGAACGTGTACGGACATGAGGTGACTTTTGAGTCAACTCAAAAGTCAGAAGGGCTGCTTGTCTGTGAACGTGTACGGACATGGGGTGGGCCGTGCAGCTGTGCAGTGGAGTCGTGTGGCGGCCCTCACATCCCTTTGCGCATGGGCAGGCGGGATGCCAGGTGAAGGGGCGGGCAGGGGCGGGCAGCAGAAGGGCTGCTTGTCTGTGAACGTGTACGGGCATGGGGTGGGCCGTGCAGTCGTGTGGTGGGCCGCACATTCCTGTGGCCCTGTTCCTGAGAACTGCATGCCGGCAGAGACACTGAACGCGTTCTGCTCCCTGCAAACCCTGACCCTCGCCCACAACCTCCGTTGCCCGTTCCTTCCCTTTCTTCCCCCTCCCCTCCCCCCACCAGTGGCCCCGACCCGGAGAACCGCATGCCAGCAGAGACACTGAACGCCAAGGAGTGTGCTTTGCTGGCCTCTCTGTCTCCCACCCCCTGTTTCTCACTTGCCCTTTCCCTCCCTTCTGCTCCCGCTCCCTCCCCACCCCCTTCTCTCGCCAACAGTGGTCCCGACCCTGAGAACCGCATGCCAGCAGAGTCGCTGAACGTGTTCTTCTCCCTGCAAATGTTTGTCTCTCACCTGCAACCTCTGTTGCCTTTTCCTTCCCTTTCTCCCCCCTCCCGACTTACCAGTGGTCCCGACCCTGAGAACCGCATGCCAGCAGAGACGCTGAACGCCAAGGAGGGTGCTTCTCTGGCCTCTCTGTCTCCTACCCCTCTCTCTCACTTGCCCTTTCCCTCCCTTCTGCTCCCGCTCCCTCCCCACTCCATTCTCCCCCCCACCAGTGGACCCGACCCTGAGAACTGCATGCCAGCAGAGACACTGAACGCCAAGGAAGTGGTAGCGAGCTTCAAGTCGAAGGGCTTCAGGTGGGTTCTGAGGGCTTCAGGTGGGCTGTGAGGGCTTCAGGTGGGTTGTGAGGGCTTCAGGCGGGTTGTGAGGGCTTCAGGTGGGTTGTGAGGGCTTCAGGTGGGTTCTGAGGGCTCAGGCGGGTTGTGAGGGCTTCAGGTGGGTTGTGAGGGCTTCAGGTGGGTTCTGAGGGCTTCAGATGGGTTGTGAGGGCTTCAGGTGGGTTGTGAGGGCTTCAGGTGGGTTGTGAGGGCGTCACTTGCGTTGTAAGGGGTTCAGGTGGGTCGTGAGGGCTTCATGTGGGTCTTGGAGGGCTTCAGGTGCTTGAATTGGGGAATCAAATCAAATGAGTCCTTGTGGAACGCAGAGGCACTGAATGCCAAAGATAACAGTTGCACTTCAGGTGCGGATTCAGGGGTTTCATGTGGGCTTCAGGTCGGCTTCAGGTCGGCTTCTAGTCCGCTTCTTGTGGGCTTGAAGGCCACGGCCCCATAGTTGTGTCCTCTCTCCCCCCACCTCCTTTCTCCTTTCTCCCTCCTTCCTCCTCCCTCCCTCCCGCCCTCCACCTTCCCCCACCTTACAGCGTGCAGGAAACGATGTGTCCACTGGGATCGAAGGCACTGGGAGGAAGGAGCTTCCTACATTTTAAGCTACTTTCTGTCAACAAATAGCCCCACCCCCTCACACCCCCCTCCATCCAGCCTACAGAAGACGGTGTGTCTACTGGGAGCGCACACACTGGGAGGGAAGGGCCTTATGCTTTATGCCCCCCCTCTGCCCCCTTCTTTCCACCCCAGCCTACAGGAGACGGTGTGTCTACTGGGAGCGCACACACTGGGAGGGAAGGGCCTTATGCTTTATGCCCCCCCTCTGCCCCCTTCTTTCCACCCCAGCCTACAGGAGACGGTGTGTCTACTGGGAGCGCACACACTGGGGGGGAAGGGCTTTGGCGATGCGACCAGCTTTGACAACGCCTACTACTCCATTCTGCTTACCAAGCCATGGCTCGACACGAGTGAGTGCATGCGAGTCTGCCTGCTTGCCCCATCTCTCTTCGCACACTCCGTGTGTCAAGGTCTTTGGCGATCCGATCAGCTTTGACAATTCATACTACGCCATTCTGCTTACGAAGCCGTGGCTCGACACGAGTGAGTGTGGCTGGACACGAGTGAGTGGGTGCAGCTGTGCCTGCTTGTCCCACTCTCCCTTTGCACACTCTTGCACTCCATTTTCTCACGGCCCACTCGTTTCTTCCGCAACATCTCCTCTTTCACTTGCTCGTTCCTCTCCACTATCTTCCATGCAAATATCACCCCATGTAACCCCCTTGCACCCGATGTTTTTTTAGAATTCTCAAAAAATATCATGTCATGCACCCCATGTAACCCCCTTGCACCCGATGCTTAACTGCCACGGAAGGGAACAGCATGGGGGACATGATCGGGCTGCCAACACAAGGCCAGATGCATGTTGCATGCGCATGCTCATGCTTCCCAATGCTGCATCCGTACACCCACCTGACTGCCAACACAAGGCCGGATATGAGTGACCTTGCCCATGCATGCATGTCATGCTCATGCTTCCCCATATTGCATGCACATGCTGTCCACGTGTGAATGTGATGGCAGGGAACAGCATGGCGGACATGATCGGGCTGCCATCAGACAAGGCCATTGTGGACGATGAAGATTGCCTCGTGTGAGTGCCCTGCACGCTACGTGTGAATTGTTTATGTGTGTTGCGTGCACACAATTGCTACCCACCCGTGGTTGCCATCGGACAAGGCCATAGTGGACGACCAAGATTGCCTCATGTGAGTCTGGTTGTGTTCGTTGTGTGCCTCTTGTTTCCGTGCATCCGTGTGCGACTGATTGATTGTGTTTATCTGTAATGCATCACGCCTCATGATCGGGCTGCCATCGGACAAGGCCATTGTGGACTCATGACAATTGCCTCGTGTGAGTCCGCTTCTCCTCTTCCCTTCACCACTACCCTTCACCACTTCCCTTCACCACTACCCTTCACCTCTTCCCTTCACCACTACCCTTTGACTTCACTCAAATGCTGAGCTCCCTCACATTCTCTCGTCCTGTGATTTTTGAGGCGCCTCAAAAATCTTCCTGTGCAACCGTCCATGCCTCCCAACCATCCAACAAGAACGCCAACAGTCAGGATCTCTTCTCAAGGGACTTTGTGCCAGCCTACACCAAGATGGTCAACAACGGAGCCGTGTGGCAACTATATAGCCCTCACTCCCAGTGCCTCCACTCACTCCCAACTCCCCCGCCCACCCCCCATCTCTCCCCATGGCCACACCAGGTGGATCAACAAGTACGCCAACGACCAGGATCTCTTCTTCCGGGACTCCCAAGGCACGTGAAAGCCCTCCCATTCCCATCCCTTGCGCTCTCCCCCCACCCCATCAACCTCATCTCCCCACACCAGGTGGATCAACAAGTACGCCAGCGATCAGGATCTCTTCTTCCGGGACTTTGTACCGGCGTACACCAAGATGGTCAACAGCGGGGCCGTGTGGGCATGATTGTCGACAGTGGGGCCCTCTCAAGTATTTTCCCTCTAGAGCTATTTCATCAGTTCAAGTGCCCCCTTAGCAGGGCCTCAGATTCATTTTTAGGGACCCTGAGCCCTCAGGGCATGGCTCAGAAATGCGTGTCCTCCTCAGGGCAGAGCCCCTACAGGGACCCTGATTTCTCAGGGCATGCCATAACTAAACCCTGATGCTTCAGGGCATTTCTTTTAACACACTGTATTTGCAGTTGCCCTGGCTACAGCGTATTGAGTGCAGACTCCCCAGAGCAGAGCATAGTGTTTGCTACCACTGCAGTGCCTGCCGAGCAAAGAGACGTAATGAACAGATGGAAGGGTGAACGAGGTGGCCAGGTGCCACCAACATGCACTGGCTTGAGATGGGTGGGGTGATGTGAGGTGGCGGACACCTCGGCAATGCCAGCGCACAAAGCCTACACGCGGGAAATTGACTAACACTATGCTACGATTGGTCAACTAGGGACATGCAGAAGTAGACGTTTCAGTTCGTGCAAATTCGAAGTGTAAGTAGTGGGTGTGAGAGGGGTACGGTAACGGGCAATCACGCCTGCTGCATCGTTGTAAGTTGCCCCATGTGGGCAATTTTGTCGTCAATGTGAGTGGTGGTGGGCGACTCGCGTGTTTCCGGCGCGAAATCTCGGTAATCAAGGACTTCGCACAAGGGCTGTTAGAGTTACTAGCTAGATGAGTGAGTTGGATTAGGTAAGGGGGGGGTACAAGGACTATCGAGAGAGATTGTTGTACCCTCTAAGGAAAGAACCCTACACAACCTATAGTGAAATAAGCAGAACAATATGTTTTGACACACCCCCATAGGTGAAGTAGGGGATAGCCAAGCCTAACAGTGGTCACAAGACCAGTCAAGCAAGAGAACAAGCAAGGCAAAGCCCAGGGTGGATCTCAAGGACACCACACAATCTGAGCACAAGCAGGCAGCCACAAGGCCAGTTCACATGCATATTTATAAGAGCAAGGCAGTACACAGATCACAACCTAGCAAGAGGAAACATGCAGGTATAAAGATATATAGCAGTGTACAACAAGAGCAAGTCAAGCAACCAGCAGGTGAGGCAGAGTGGGCACAAGCCCAAGAGCAGTGCAGAAACGCTGATGATCACCAGCCGCAAGGGCCTTGGTGAAGACATCAGCAGTGTTGGCCCGAGAGGCCACGAAAGCAAGGCGCAGCTGACCACGCTGCTGCAGCTCACGCGCAAGGAAGTAGCGCAGAGCAATGTGCTTCGTTCTGTGCTCCAGTCTCTGTTCGCGACACAAGGCAAGCATTGCCTTGTTGTCGACGTACAGAACTGGAGGAGAACGAGGCCGCTCCCCCAAGTCGGTCAGCAGGTAGGTCAGCCAACGGAGCTCCTGTGCAGCCATGGCCCCAGCGTAGATCTCGGCCTCACAGCTGGAACCAAGCACAGAAGAAGAACGAGTGGACCTCCACGAGACAGAACCAGCGCCAAGACTGAAGGTGTAACCCTGTGACGAACGCTGAGTCGTCTGGTCGTCGGCCCAAGAAGCGTCAGAGTGTCCTGTGAGGACCACCGAACCCCGTCCTCCAAGCACGAGCCCCATGCCCGATGTGCTGCACAAGTAACGCAGTACCCTCTTCGCAGCATCAAAGTGCACCTTTCGGTGCCTGCCGGGTGCCACGTAGCGAGCCAGAAGGCTGAGAGGATACGCGAGGTCAGGTCGTGTGCACGTCATCAGGTACATGAGGCAGCCCACAAGCTCTGGGTACGGACCACTCGGCTCTACGGACTCGTCCGAAGGTGGAGCTGAGAGCGAGTGGCCGGTAGCCAGAGGAGTGGGCTGTGGCGAGGAGTACGTGAAGCGGAAGCGCTGAAGGACCTGGTGCACCATGTGTGACTGAGTCAGGGTGATGGTGCGCCGTGCTCTCTCCCGGGTGATCTGCAAGCCAAGATAGCTCCGCAGCTCACCCAGGTCAGTGCAGGTGTGTCTCTCCTGCAGCTCCGCCTTCACTAGGGTCAGTGCCTCAGTGTCAGCAGTAGCAAAAACCAAGTCGTCGACGTACACGAGGATGTAGAACGGCGGCAGAGTAGTGTCGGTGCGTAGAAACAGCGACAGGTCAGCAGTCGAAGAAGCAAACCCAAGAGCCGCAAGTGTCGTCCTCAGTGTGTCGTGCCACTCACGGGGCGCCTGACGCAGGCCGTACACTGGTCGCCGTAGGCTCCACTGGGTACCCGCAGGAAACGACCCAGTGAAACCCTGTGGACGGCGCAACCAGATGGCCTCGTGAAGGCTACCCTGCAAGAAAGCTGTCGAGAAGTCGAGGGAGTGCAGCTCGTAGTCACGCTGAGCTGCAACCTGTAGCAACACCCGAAGAGTGGTCATCTTCGGGGTGGGGGAGAAGGTCTGAAAGAAGTCGACCCCCTCACGCTGACTGAAGCCTCGAGCAACGTAACGTGCCTTGAAGGCAGGCGGAGAACCCGGCGGCCGCTTCACCCTGAAAATCCACATGCCACTGACGATGTTCGCCCCAGATGGGGGAACCTCGTCGACGTAGGTGCCTGTGGACTTCCAGGAAGCCATCTCTGCGTCCATGGCTGTCTGCCACTGAGAGGAGTACTCACCCGAAATTGCCTCCCTGTAGGAGTGCGGGGTAGGGATGTCAAGTGCATCCGGGTCTCCTTCAGGGGCAAGCAGCATGGTCGCGTGATGGGGTGAAGCGGCAGCAAGGCACTCCAACTCCTCCTGTTTGTCCTCAAGAACGTCACAGCCAAGGGCAGTGCAGCCAAGAGCAGTCTCACCCCCGACGGACGGAGGACAGGCAGGGACAGGGTCAGAGACAAGACTCGCAAGGTAGTCTAGGCGGTACACAGCAGCAAAGTCAACGAGCTCAGCTACTAGGGCAGACGCAGCAGGAGACGAGAACGTAGGGTCCGTCATAACCGTAGCAAGAAGGCGAGTAACAGTCGGACTGGACGCACGAGTAAGGTCAGACGGAGGGTCAGCAACGTCAGGCAAAGAAGACGCAGGAGGTAACGGTAGGACAACACGCTGAGGAACAGAGGAAGGACGGAGTGTCATATCGTGAGTGCCGGGGACAACCGGAGCACGCTGACGACGAACACGAGGAACACGAGCACGGACAGCAGCTCTAGGCTCAAGCTCAAGGCCAAAGCTAGACTCAGGCTCTCGACGCTCAGGGGTGGAAGCACGAGTCTCAGGCTCTCGACGCTCAGTCAGGGACTCTGACACCGCAGTGTAAGGAGCAGGAGCAGGCAGTGGGGAGTGTGGTAGCAGCGGCGGCTGTGACTGGTCCGCCGGTGGACACAGCAACGGAGGAGTAGTACTTGCCACAGGGAAGCCAGTAGCACCTGGCTGAAGACTGAGAAGGTGGCGAAGAGCACCAGTAGCTCCACCAGGACCTCCAGCACCTCCAGCACCTCCAGCCCCAGCAGCTTCGGCGCCTCCAGCACCAGCAGCTCTAGCAGCTCCACGACCTCCAGCACCAGCAGTACCTCCAGTACCTCCAGCACCAGCAGCTCCACGACCTCCAGCACCAGCAGCACCTCCAGTACCTCCAGCACCAGCAGCTCCACCAGGACCAGCAGCACCTGCAGCTCCCCGACCTCCAGCACCAGCAGCACCTCCAGTACCTCCAGCACCTCCAAGACCTCCAGCACCAGCAGCACCTCCAGGACCTCCAGCACCAGCAGTACCTCCAGTACCTCCAGCACCAGTAGCTCCAGGTCCTCCGGTAGGAGCTCCGACGACACCAACACCAGAAGGACTCGCAGCACCCCCAGAGTCAGCACTCGAACTCGAAGCACCCCCAGAGGCAGCACCCTCGGTCTCAGCACTCGCAGGCTCAGTACCCTCAGTCGCAGCACCCTCAGGCCCAGTACCCTCAGTCCCAACACCCCCAGGCTCAGTACCCTCAGTCCCAGCACCCCTAGGCTCAGTACCCTCAGTCCCAGCACCCCCAGGCTCAGTACCCTCAGTCTCTGCTCCAGTGTCCACAGCAGCAGGCTGCAGAGGCGGCGAAGACGGCCGTGGCGGGAAACCCGGGGGGGTCTCCAAGCGAGGAGTGCGGCGAGTGGTCGCCGTGTCGTCGGCGACGGCGTCACCCCCCTCAGGTGAGTCAGAGGAGTCAGAAGAGATCTCAACTGGCTCATCCAAGGGGGGTGGGTCTACCTGGGACACACCTGAGGGAGCAGGACCCTGTGGGGGAAGGGGGTCTACCGGGGGGGGGACTGGTACCAGGAAGAGAGGTGCGAGAGGGACCGGGTGGGACGCGTGCGGGTGAAGTCGGTAGTAACAGACCGACTCGTCAAAGTTGACATCCTGAGAGGACAGAACATGACGCGAGGCAGGGTGGTAGAACTGCCAGGGTGGAGCGTCGGTGGGGAAGCCCAGGAAGACACAGCGGAGAGTGCGAGGGGAGAGCTTGCTCGCTTTGGTATCGCGAATAAGGGAGAGCGCGCCCCAGACCCGAAACGACGACGCATCACCGGGCTGTCCCGTCCAACGGAGTGTGGGCGAGGTCTCTGGAGCAGAGACACGGGGCCAGAGGTTGAGCTGATGCGCGGCGTATCGGACCGCAAACGGCCACAGGAAATGGGGAGCAGCCGCATGGATCATGGAGGTACGAGCAACCTCCATGATCAGGCCAATGCGACGCTCAGCGATCCCATTTTGCTGCGGAGAGGCCGGAAGCGTGAACGACTGGCGGATGCCCTCATCCTGGCAGAACGTCTCAAGGACGCCAGAGGAGAACTCACCACCCCTGTCAGAGTGCAGACGCAGGACTGGGAAGTCCTGCTGAAAGCGCTCGTGCAGCTGGAGACGAGTAGCACGGATCCAGCGGATCAAGACACCACTGACATCCGCCTTGCGCCGCAAGGGGAAGACTGTGGTGTAGCGTGTGTAGTCGTCAACCACCAGCAGGAAGTAGCGCTCCTGGTCCGTTCCACCGACGGGGGCCGGGCCCCACACGTCCATGTGGAGAGTCTGCAGAGGAGCAGTGGTCGGAGGAAACTTGGAGGAGTGAGGAGCGGCGCGCTGCCGCCCCTCGACGCAAGGAAGGCACGGCGGCGCAAGTGAGCGCGGGAGGGGGGGCAGGGTCTCAGGGAGGCCAGTGACCAGGAGCCGGGAGTGCATGCGGCGCAGACGCTGCAGGGAGGGGTGACCAAGACGGTGGTGCCAGCGCTGAGTCTCGTGCGTGAGTACTCGGCACGAGCAAGACGCAGCTAACTGCCCTGACGCAGACGCTCGACTCGACGTAGCTACCTGACCTGACTCAGCCACCTGTGCAGACGCAGTGGTCAGTGTGTACAGACTAGACCCAGGCTGTCGAGTGAACGTAGCCAGGTGACGGCCAGTCCGGGAGCACGTACAGATCGCCACACGCTGCCCTCCAGGAATAAAGGTATCAACCCAGACATCCTGAATGGCAGCGTTGCTCACCAAGTTCGTCAAGAACGTGGGGAGGTGGAGACCTGACAAAGAGCCGGAGGGGACTGCTGGACAAGGGAGGACCGTGGAGGCTCTCGCAACCACTGGGCCCCCAGAGGGGTCAGCCAGTGAGACTGGGACAGGTGCTGTGAGAGGTGTGACTGTGGTGCAATCACGGAAGAAGCAACGTGACGCGCCAGAGTCAAGCGTGAACGTGTGCAAGACCTCAGCTGAGGCAGGACCTGTGGTAGTAGACGCACTAGCAACTAGAGCGTCGGTAGACTCACGGGCACCTAGAGCTGCAGCAGACTCACTAGCACCTGGAGTGGCAGCAGACTCACTAACACCTGGAGTGGCAGCAGACTGACTAACACCTGGAGTGGCAGCAGACTCACTAACACCAAGAGCAGCGGTCTTAACATAACGATAACCTCCACCACCAGGACGACCTCGCTGAATAACCCACTCACGAAGCTGCTGAGGGGTGGGGTCGTCCGGGAGAAGCAGTGCCCGCTGCTGTCCACCCCTGGCCTCAGCGACTGCCGCGGAAGTGGCCATGACAGACAGTGACTGTCAGGAGTAGGTCCAGCACCTCCAGCTCCTACAGCGCCAGCAGCACCTCCTACACTCCCAGCAGCACCTCCTCCACTCCCAGTAGCACAAGTAGCAGCAGCAGCAGTAGTAACAGCAGCAGGGCAGTTCGGTGGGGGTGGGAGGCCGCACCTCCACCACTCCCAGCAGTACTCCCTCCAGTAGCAGCAGTAGCAGGGCGGCTCGGGCAGCAGCAGCAGACCGAGCAGCAGCAGCAGCAGCAGCAGTAGCACTAGCTGTAGCAAGTGCAGTAGTAGGAGCTGCAGCAGTAGCACTAGCTGTAGCAAGTGAAGTAGTAGGAGCTGCAGCAGTAGTACTAGCTGTACCAAGTGAAGTATTAGGAGCTGCAGCAGTAGCTTCAGTCAGGAGCAGCTGCAGTAAGTGCTGGAGTAGGAGCTGCAGCAGTAGCACTAGCTGTAGCAGAAGTAGCTTCAGTCAGTACCAGCTGTACCAAGTGCAGTAGTAGGAGCTGCAGCAGTAGCACTAGCTGTAGCTGGAGTAGCTTCAGTCAATAGTAGCTGTAGCAAGTGCTGGAGTAGGAGCTGCAGCAGTAGCACTAGCTGTAGCAGCCGTAGCTTCAGTCAGTAGCAGCTGTAGCAAGTGCCGTAGTAGCAGCAGCAGCAGTAGCACTAGCTGTAGCAGCACTAGCTTCAGTAGCAGCAGCAGTGAGTAGCGCTAGCTGTAACAGGAGTAGCGTCAGTAGCAGCAGCAGTGAGTAGCGCTAGCTGTAGCAGCAGTAGCTTCAGTAGCAGCAGCAGTGAGTAGCACTAGCTGTAGCAGCACTAGCTTCAGTAGCAGCAGCAGTGAGTAGCACTAGCTGTAGCAGCACTAGCTTCAGTAGCAGCAGCAGTGAGTAGCACTAGCTGTAGCAGCAGTAGCGTCAGTAGCAGCAGCAGTGACAGCTCGGGCTGGGCAGCGCGTAGTAGCAGTAGGCGCGCGTGGGCTGTGGGCATGCCAACCAGGGGCGCGCAACAGGTGCGTGCGGGGCGGCACTACGAGGAGTGCGCATCAGGTGCGTGCTAGGGGCTGGCGGGCAGCGTGAGTGGCGCGCGCAGCAGCAGGAACGAGGGGGGGACCGGGCGTAGGGGCTGACGGGCCGCGCGAGAGGCGCACGGGGCAGCTAGGGCTCGGTCAGGGGGGTCGCACGTGACTATGAACAGAAAATCGCGTCTAGGCAGAAAAGGGAACCGTCTCGCCTAGGGCACGTTTTCGCATTTCGCGTTTCTCCTAGGGGCGCGACTCGGGCAGCAGGTCGAAATAGTAGTGGTGGGCCCTTTTAAAATTTCGGTCCTAAGGAGCATTGTGCTCTTAATACCATGTTAGAGTTACTAGCTAGATGAGTGAGTTGGATTAGGTAAGGGGGGGGTACAAGGACTATCGAGAGAGATTGTTGTACCCTCTAAGGAAAGAACCCTATACAACCTAGAGTGAAATAAGCAGAACAATATGTTTTGACAAGGGCCCCCCTAGGCGCACAGCGTAACTGTTTTAGGGTTCGCCATACAAGCACCCTGGCGCCTCAGGGCAGGCAGGTGTACACTACTCTGAAATCTCTGGGTGATAAAAACAGACATCCTGAAATCTCAGGGCTTAAAGTACAGAGACCCTTATTCTTCAGGGCAAGGGGGGTATGTCAACCCTGAAATCAGGGTAATCAGGGTATTTTACCCTGATATCAGAGGCCCTGCCCCTTAGGCTTGTATTTTTTGCCATGACGTGTTATGCTGTGTTCTTGCCGCATTACCAGCCCAGTAAATTAAAAAGAATAAAACACCGTTTTTTTGGAGTCGTGAAAAAACCCTGATTTATCTGTTAGTTATGTACTAGTAATTTAGAATTTAAGATGGAGCTGTAATTATTGCATAAAACCAAACGTTCTATATGTGTAAATCATGCCGAGAGAGTAAGTGTATGGACATACGGCGTGTGACCCTACATGGTTGACCCTAAACGCAAAGCGAAGCAACGCTGCCGAGCCTTGTGCCGAAGCTGGTGGTGTGTTTGGCTGTGTCGTGCTTGGTAGATTTTCAGTTCATTCATTGCGGTTACCTGCGATGTCGTGTTATGTAGAGCGGTGATTAGTTCCAACCACTCTGAACCACAACATACCAGCCTGAACAGTGATTCATGACACGCCTTTATCGTGGGACTGAGCTCAATGCTGATTGGTAAAAAAACATGTTACGCAGAGGTGCGAAAAGCTCCGCGATGTCGATGACGTCGCCATACCCGTGAGGGTGTGACCTTGGGCTGGGTGCAATCCCTCCCCGAGCAGTTTTTGCGTTTACAACTTGTCAACCTCCGCGCGCACACAAGCGGTTCTCACAGCATCAGGCAGAGCAGGGAATAACTAGGAGTCACGTCCATGAAGGACGTATTATAGAAACCCGAACCGGCGAAGGCATCGGTGATAATTAAGAAGCGCGTGCGTGTGTGTAGCCGATTAAGACTTATTCAGCTCTATCCACTTTGTAACAACCGTAACCGTAAGGCCCCGATTCTGTTGGCGTGTCGCAGGCGTGTCGCTTAAGCCTTTGCAGGCTTGTCGCACGCCGTCGCCATGTCGCAGCTGTCCGTAGTGCTAGCGACAGCGGGTTACGACCACACGATCCGGTTTTGGGAAGCCACGTCGGGTCAATGCTACCGCACGATTCAGTACGCCGAATCAGTACGTTAACCGAATTGAAGCAGTAAGTTTACCAAATTGAATTAATACCTTACGGAATCAGTACGTTAACCTAGTACCAGCAACATACATGCTGCAAGCAGAGTTTCCTTAACCCACAAGGTGAAGCTTGCAGTTTACCAGCAATGTGCAGCGAGCACAATCTGTTTGGTAGACCCGTCACCCATAAAGACCCTTCCGCAAACCTCCATCTGCATCTCTCCTGGTGCACCAGGAAGCATGTGATTCGCATGAAGGTTCCCCATCATTAACCCGCCACCTGCACATCCCTCATCTGTCCCCCCCCCACACAATCACCACCCCACCTCAACCCCATCCAGCAGGTGAACCGCTTGGAAATCATGCCGGATAAAAAGTTCCAATAACCGTCTTCCTCATCTGTCCCCTCCCCACATTAAATTTCCTTTTCCCCCTCTCCCGCCCGTCCACGCCCTTTTGCACCAGCGAAGCATGTGAGCCGCATGGAGGATATTATGCCCCACCTCTTCCAAGAGGTTCACACAAGAGGTTTCAGTATCCGTCTCCCACCTCTTTCTCCCCACATGCACTCTCACACGTGTCTCTCCCCACATGCACTCTCACACGTGTCTCTCCCCACATGCACTCTCACACGTGTCTCTCCCCACATGCACTCTCACACGTGTCTCTCCTCTATTGCAACAGAGCAGCAGGTGAACCGCTTGGAGATCATGTCGAAACAGAGGTTTCAATGACTGCCTCCTGCTCCTGTCCCCCTCCACATTCACTCTCACATGTGCTCCTCCTCACTTTGCCCCAGAGCAGCAGGTGAATCGCATGGAGATCATGTCAGACAAGAGGTTCTAATAACTGTGTCCCACACCTTTCCCCCCCGCACCTTTCTCATGCGTGTCGCCCTCCCTCCTCCCCCCCCTGCACCAGCACAGCAGGTGAACCGCATGGAGATCATGCCGGACAAGAGGTTCCAGTAACTGTCCCTCGTGCCTATCTCCTCCCTGTATTTTACTCCCCTCCCCCTCCCTTCCTTTCCCCCCATTGCACCAGCACAGCAGGTGAACCGCATGGAGATCATGCCGGACAAGAGGTTCCACCGTCGCGTCGCCCCTCGCCCATCTGCATCCCTCTATCTCCCCCCATCACCGATCTGCACCGATTGCACCAGCACAGCAGGTGAACCGCATGGAGATCATGCCGGACAAGAGGTTCCAGTAACCGCCCCCCGCACCTGTCCCCCATCCCTGCAAATTCACCCCACCATCTCCTCCCCTTCCCCCCATTGCACCAGAGCAGCAGGTGAACCGCATGGAGATCATGCCGGATAAGAGGTTCCTGGCTGCTGCAGGCAACCCGCACATCCGCCTCTTCCAAATCGACTCCAACCAGCCACAGCCGGTAAGAGCGCAGCACCATCACTGCTGCGGCTGGTGCTTGAGACTACTGCAGTAGCTGCGGCTGCTGCTGGCAACCCGCACATTCGCCTCTTCCAAATCGACTCCAACCAGCCGCAGCCGGCAAGAACTCAACTCAGCACTATGTCGTGCCCTGGACTGCTGCACAGTGAGAGTCACCACCATGACAGTTGCAGCTAGTACTTGAGACCATTGCAGTAGCTGCGGCTGCTGCTGGCAACCCGCACATCCGCCTATGCCAGATTGACTCTAAGCAGCCACAGCCCGTAAGCATGCAGCACTGTGCCATGCCATGACATGCCATGCCATGCCGTGCCGTGCCGTGCCGTGCCATGCCATGCCGTGCCGTGCCGTGCCATGCCATGCCATGCCGTGCCGTGCCATGCCATGCCATGCCGTGCCATGCCATGCCATGCCATTCCATGCCATACCGTGCCGTGTCTTGCCATGTCGTGCCATGCCATGGCATGCCATGCCATTCGCTGCACCGCACGGTGTTGCGACACCATTGCAGAAGTACCTGTTACTGCTGCCAGCTCCCACATCTGCCTGTTCTTCCAGTAGCCAGATTGACTCCAACCAGCCACAGCCAGTATTCATTCTCATGATCTGCTTTGTTGCATGAAATCGTATGCAATGCAGCAGCACCATGCATGCGTGCATGGTGTAGCTGCTGCTGTTGGTGTGAGTTGACTCACAGAAGATTGCAAGCAGCACCATGTATGCATGGTATCATGGCACACTGGCTCAGTAGCTGCTTCTGGTGCATGGGAAGGGAACCTGCTCATTTGACTGTTTCAAATCGACTGCGTGCATCCTTGTGTTCCGTGTTGCTTTCGTTGAGATGTCTCAAGACACATTATATGCGATAAATACATTCTCGCATCCACCTTTTGCATATCATTTTCGACTAGATGCAGCCGATGTGGAACGATGCTGTGGCTTGCTGGCTCTCTCTCACCAGATTATTGGTGCCCGTGGCCAGCATATGATGCTGAATACGAACGATGCTTCCAAGTAGTCCACATTTGCAAATGTAGTCAGCAGCACGATGTACGGTGCTGCATGATCTCGAAGCTGTGGTGCTGCTGAAGCCGTTTGTCCTGTTCTGTTCCCACCGCCACATGTGATGAGATTTGACGGATGACGAGCAAACCAACGGCGTGTGGCCGCAATTAGTGGCTCCTCACATGCCTCCCCTTCCCCTCCCTTCCCCTCCTCGTCCACCTCTCTTCCTGAACCCCTCGTCACAGGCTATGTCGGGCACACCAGCAACGCTGCAGCGCGACGTGACAGCAGGGAGGGGTTTCAGTGCAAAATATTGCACATTCTTCCACTTCCCCTCTGCCACAGGTGACAAACCATGACTGGCACAGTTGCCGGCTCAAAATGTCGCACAGCTGTAGGCTGTGAGACACCCCAACGCCCTCTCCTTCCCCCACCACTCCCCACCCACCCCACCACTCGTCCTGCCCCCTCGCAACAGGGAACGAGTAATGATAGGCACACCAACAGTGGCACAGGTCTGAGTTGCCAGGCACCTCTCTGCCCTCCGCTCCACCACAACCCTTCTTTTCCCCCACCCCACCACGTCCTGCCCACCTCGCCACCCATCAGGTGATGAGCTACGACGGTCACACCAACAACGTGACGGCGGTGGGCTTTCAGTGCGCATTCTCCGATCAACCAGTCTGCCACAACCTTTCTTTTCCCGCTCCACACCACTCCTCTTGCCCCTTTCGCCTTGTCCCCCCAAAACCCCCTCCCCAGCAGGTGATGAGCTACGACGGGCACACCAACAACGTGACAGCAGTGGGCTGTCAGTGTGCATTACCTCACAACCTCCCCCACAACCCTTCCTTACCCCCTCCACCACCACATCACTCCTCTTGCCCCCTTCGCCTCGCCCCCCACCAGGTGATGAGCTACGACGGCCACACCAACAATGTGACAGCGGTGGGGTTTCAGTGCGACGGCAGGTGGATGTATTCGGGCTCAGAGGACGGCACCGTCAAGATCTGGGACCTCAGGTGGGTGCAGTGGGGACGTGGGACCTGAGGCGGGGGCAGATGTGGGGAAGGTCTAGGTGTAGATACAGCATGCGGCATTCGTATGGCTTTCAGGGCGACGGCCGATGGATGTATTCTGGCTCAGAGGACGGTACTGTCAAGATCTGGGACCTCAGGTGGGCGTGGGAGCAGTCAGACACCGCTCGTTCGTGTTATGCCTCTCCCTAGGTAGATAGAGCACGAGGCACTATCGGGGCTTTCAGTGCGACGGCAGGTGGATGTACTCGGGCTCGGAGGACGGCACTGTCAAGATCTGGGACCTCAGGTGGGCGTGGGCCAAGGCCCAAAATTGGTTTAGGCCTACTCTTACAAATCAGGGTACCAGCCCCTCCTAGAACAAACCCCTAGGGTAGAATTTTCTGTAGCCTGATTTCAGCAGGGTAACTCTGGCACTAGGCTGATTTGAGCAGGGTATTTTCGGGCCAATTCTGTTTTGGTTACAGTTTTGTGAGCTACGGTTTTAATAAAATCAGAAATAAAGTAATACACCCAAAGTCCATTCACTCTACATAAGTCACACATGAACTACACACCTACTCAGTGCCACCCCCACTGCCTACATCTTCTACAAACCGAGTCTGTGAAGCTCTGGTGGGGTCGAACTCCCTGGTGGATCGCCTCAGCCTCTCTCCACGAAAGATAGCGACCACCTCAAACCAGTCGACATCGTACCGCAGCAGGGAGCAACGCATCAGATGCTCCAGGCTTGTGTTGCCAAGGCTGCCACGGCCCCACGTCTTGATCAGATTCTGCTTCGAGAAGCCACGCTCGCATTCAACCGTGCTCAATGGCAGCACGGCCACTGACTGCCACATCCGCATGATGTTGGGGAAGGAGACACGCCATGCATCATCCCGCAGCATGTTCGTCAGCGCCTGATGGAATTCCTCGTTGTTGTGCTGGGCGAACATTGTGGATGTAAACATCCACAGCTCCTGCTGGGCTCTCTTGTAGTCGAACCCTGTGGTGGGGCGGAGTGCGGGTGAAAGCTAAGCCGATGCTCGCAGACACGGGTAGGGGTGGGGGGCATTAGTCCAACAGGCCACAGTATGCAGGATGTGCAATGGTTAACCTCATGTCAGGCATGAAAGTGACAACAAACATCATAACATGTGCAAGCGCTACAGAAGGCTTACCAGGCAGCTTGTGGTGGTATAACTTGTGCAGTTGGCCGAGCCACTTCTTGAAGGTTTCCAGTCGCTTCGTGTCGTCGGACACGTACGAGGCTGTGCGAAACAGCTTCGAGCCTTCCAGGAGCTCCAGGTCGCGCATCCACCACTCCAGCTCCTTGTCAATGGCGCGCACGTACTTGATCGACAGCTCGACGCACGCCGTGACATCGCCTTCCGTCTCGTGTCCAGGCAGCGGGCGCTCGTGCAGCGTGAACTCAAACGTGACGGGATTCCCTTCCCCGTCTACGCCTTCCGCCTTCATCTCGCGCTTGTCCTTTGCCCCGTGCCTCTGAATGAACTCGGGAAGCTGCATTTTCTCGCCGCTGCCGAAATGGTGTGCAGGGTCGCGGAGGGAATACCGCGTCTTCAAACGCATCCTTGTCTGCTGCACGATGTGCGCAACAAGGGTGACGTCCACCTGCACATGGGGATCGCAGCGAGTTAGTACACCTGCTTGCAAGCGACAACAAAGACGCCAGCAACAAAGACGCTTACCTGGCGCTGCTGGAATCGCAGGTTAAGGCTGTTCAGTTCCCAAAGCACATCCGCAAGAAAGCGGATGAGCCAGTGGAACTTGAACGAGGTCACCACCTCATACAGATCCGCCTTGTAATCCTTCATCACCACAATGGCCGCAGGGAGCACGTCTAGAAGGCGCTGTACCGCTTCACCGCGGGCGAGCCATCGTGTGTCGCTAATCCCCTGCGCCTCGAGATTCGTCTGGCAGAAAATCCGCTGCATCTCTTGAAACTTCGCGTAGTCTACGCTGCTGCGGCCGATGTGGTCAGCGAAGGCGCGCACGACGTCATCGATCATTAGCAGGTCAGGTACCTCTTCTGCAGCATCACTGGCAGCGAGTGCCTCCCTGTACATAGAGGAAACACGACATATTGTTAGTCAGCGTCAGCACTTGGTAAGCGAGCAGCACGGAGCACACAACGGTGATGCTTACCGATGCGCGATACAGTGTGTTGAAGCCAGATGCGGAATGCGCATGCGAAGACGTGTCACGACTCCTCGGTTCTTGCCGACCATGACGCTGGCACCATCGGATGCGACGCTGGATATCTTCTGGAGATCCAGCCCGATACTTGTCAGATACTGCACAACAGCGGATGTGAGTGAGGCACCGTCACAACGGTCAACAGTAATCAGAGTCAAGAACTCTGTAACCACAGTGGTGCGCTGGAAGAACGTGGCGTATAGAATGAGGTGTTTCCCATTCACACGGTCCGTGCTCTCGTCGAGTTGAATCCCTATCCACGGGGATTCGAGCAGGTGCTGGCGCTATGTCTCTTGAAGGTATGTTGAGAGGGCGCGCAGGTTCTCTTTGAAGCCGTAACTGCCAGGGGACAACATAGGTGGTTAAATACCACAGTGGATAATATAGAACACAGCAGAAACACCAAATCAAGCAGCCACTTACTCTGTGTAGTACGCGCCGTAGCCGCCAGCGGGAGGCAGGTCTGGTAACCCCTCCTTCGCCAGAAACCAACACAGCGGGACGAACATCGCTATGGGTGCATCGGCCTTACAAACAAAGTGCGCGATGTGGAGGAGCCGAATGATGTGCCGTGTGGAAGCGTTTGTAGCCTGCCATCGTGTGATTGAGGCCTGCTTCGCCTTCTCCGCTTCCGCCTTCTCCTGATTCTCCAACGACTCCTTGTGTGCACGGGAGGAGGTGTGAGCGCGGATGCTGCCGATCTGGAGGTCCCGAGCACCTTCGCCCTTCGCCCCGTACGCGGTGTGCGCCAGTGGATCTCCATGCTTCACACAAATCGCACACTTCAAAGACGGACGGCCGTTAGACATGCGGAGCAAACGTAACCACTTGAAGCTACCTGCCCACTGACCCTCAAACGTCTTCTTCACCGACTCATACTCAGCATCCGCCAGAGCGGTGGGTGGCGTCGGGTCGGCCGAAGGAGCAGGGCGCTTGTGTGAAGTAGCGTTTTTCGGAGGAGGGGCGCCCCACAGCGTCTGCTGCTTGTACGTAACTCCCACACGCGGTCGCTTGACGGGCGCGGTGCTGACCGTCGAAGGCGAAGCAGTAGGCGGCTTTTACGAGCCCTCGCCTCCTCCGGGAACCAAATCTATGTCAGGATGTGGCTCCCACGCCGTGGGTGAGTCTGGCGGCTCGAACGGATAAACCGTTCCTACCACACATTCAGGTGACGGCTCACGAGGCGGCGGCTGAGCGATGGGCACGGCGTAGTTCTCGCTAAGGCGTGGTAAAACGCCCAGCACAGAGAGGCCGTTTCTCGCGCCATCAGGTGGATCGGGCTCTCCAGTGGGCATTGTTGAGGTGAAAGTTGGAGCATGGTTGAGAATGAGGGCCAAGCGAGAGACCCCCTTGAAGAGAACGACCCCCTGGCTGCCTCTCAAGGGCCGTTTCTTCCACGAGGCGGGAAGTGTATGGCCAGCACGGCAGGACTGCTGCTGCATTCTGTTGTCAAGGACAGCTTGAAGCTGTCCTTGACAGCAAATTCTGCTGTGTTGGCGGTGGGCGTGGCGACGGGTGGCAAGATTCGAGAGAAACAACAAAAGAAGCAACATGGCGCGTTGCCGACAGCGAGGCATTGTTTTGCGCGTGGGCACAAGCGACAACCGGTGTTTGTGGGGGTGTGGTACATTTTGTCACAAAGCGGACTGTGGTCTGATTCGCGTTAGAAAAGTTTCGGTAAAAGGGTAGTGTACACCACACCCTGATTCCGTCAGCCTAACCTTAAAACCAGTCAGGGTAAAAAAAAACATGTTCTTTTAAGAGAAGGGCAACTAATTCGCATTCCTGATTTTGGCAGGGTAATCCTGAAAAAACGGCCGACCCCCAGGGTAATCAGGGCGTTTTACCCTGATATTTTGGGCCCTGGCGTGGGCGCAGTAAGACACGGTTCGTGTTATGCCTCTCTAGGTAGACACAGCATGACGCACTGTCGTGGCTTTCAGTGGCTGGATGTACTCCGGTTCCAAGGACGGCACCGTCAAGATCTGGGACCTCAGGTGGGTGGAGATGTGGGGAAGGTCTGGTCAAGGTAGATGGAGCTTGAGGCACTATCGTGCCTTTCAGTGCGACGGCAGGTGGATGTATTCGGGGTCAGAGGACAGCGCCGTCAAGATCTGGGACCTCAGGTGGGTGGAGATGTGGGGCACGTGGGTGGGACCTGGGACCTGAGGTAGGGGCAGTCACAATTTGTGGGAAATGGCATCTTTATGAGTTTCAGAGTGATGGCAGGTGCAAGTCCGGTCTGGCATGCCGGTCTGGCATGCCGTTAGAGCTGAGTATGGCGCAGCCAGAGGTACGGTCAAATGAAGATGTTGGTTGTTTTAACTTCCTGCAAGTCGTTCTGATCTGATCACTAGAGGTCAGGACAGGATCAATCTTGGGTCTTAATCATGAGGTCAAGATCTGTTGAAACTGCTCCTTTTCCTTCTAGCTCACACTCCTCTTTCGGTGCCGTCCCACATTCACCCGCCTCTCGGACATCATCGTTTGATTCATTCATTCATTCATTCATTCATTCATTCCATCCCATTTTCCGTCCTCTCCTTGCTTGATCCCAGAGCCCCACCACTGCACCAGGCCAGGGGGACCATGAGAGCCGAGCAGCAATCAGTGGTGTTCCACCCCAACTAAATGGAGCTCATACCCTTCTTTCTCTTCCTTCCATTACCCCCTCCAGCCCATTCTCCCTTTCCCCGAGCCCCTCCCTTGTACCAGAGGGACTATGAGAGCCGGGCGGCGGTGAATATGGTGGTGCTGCACCCCAAGGGTTGAGCAAAGGGCGAACACGAACATGTTCGCGTTCGCCCTTGCACGGACATGGCCGTTCAGCGAACCGAACACTGTTCGGTTCGCCGAACGACTTCCCAAAAAAGGGTGTTCGCCGTTCGCCTGTGAAGCCGTGTTCGGGCGAACCAAACAGGTGTTCGTTTCTTTGCTCATCCCCCCAACCAGACGGAGCTCATACCCATGGCAGCTGTACCTTCTCCTTCTGCTGTCCTCCCCCCCCGTCTCCCTTCCCCTTCCCCCCCTCCCCCCCGCCCCCCCTCCCTCTTTCCTCACCTCTTGCGCTCTATCTCTCCCTTACCCCCAGAGCCCCCCCTTTGTACCAGGGGGACTACGAGAGCCGGGCGGCGGTGAACACGGTGATGCTGCACCCCAACCAGACGGAGCTCATACCCTCCTTCCTCCTTTTGTCATTCCATCCCCCCTTCCTCCCCCCAGAGCCCCCCCTTTGTATCAGCGGGACTATGAGAGCCGCGCGGCAGTGAACACGGTGGTGCTGCATCCCAACTTGGCGGACGGACCGCATACCCTCGCTTCTCCTCCTTCTCCCTGCCCCTCCCGCCCGCCCAATATCCCTGACTGCCCCAGAGCGCCGCCCTTGTACCAGAGGGACTACGAGAGCCGCGCAGCGGTGAACACGGTGGTGCTGCACCCCAACCAGACGGAGCTCATCTCGGGCGACCAGAACGGCAACATCCGCGTGTGGGACCTCACTGCCAACGCGTGCAGCTGCGAACTGGTGAGTGAAAGGGAGTCAACGCGAGTCACTGCGAGTCGGTGTGCTGTGCTGTGCCGTGTGCCGTGTGCCATGTGCCACACAAACAGCACAGGGAGGGCATCAAGTGGAGCTCATCTCGGGCGACCAGAACGGCAACATCCGCGTGTGGGACCTCACTGCCAACGCTTGTAGTTGTGAACTGGTGGGTCACAGGGAGTCAACGCGAGTCGGTGTGGAGATGACAGCAACCAACACCGGTGTCCGTTCTGCAGGGTGTTTTTGAGAATTCTAAAAAACAACCAACACCAGTGTCCGTTCTGCAGGGTGTTTTTGAGAATTCTTAAAAACAACCAACACCGGTGTCCGTTCTGTTCCTCCCCGCCGCCCTTGTGGCCGTTTATCCTTGTGCTCTTTTGTTCTTGTGGCCTGTTCTCCTCTCAACCGTCATCCTGCAGGTGCCAGAGGTGGACACGGCAATAAGGTCCGTGGCAGTGATGCAGGATGGCAGCATGTGGTCGTGGCAACTAGCAACTCTGTCCGTCCGTCCCGTTCTCAAGTGCTGCCCCGATTACCTCTTCCCCTCTTCTTCTCGCAACCCTAAACACCCCGGCAGGTGCCTGAGGTGGACACTGCGATAAGGTCCGTGGCAGTGATGTGGGACGGCAGCATGGTCGTGGCAGCCAACAACAAGGGCACCTGCTTTGTCTGGCGCCTCACCTCAGGCTCTCAGGTGTGTGCGCATGCAATCGACTCTCTTGAATAAAGCACCAGATTGGGTCAACACCTGCTTTGTCTGGCGCCTCACCTCCGGCTCGCAGGTGTGTGTTTGCCCTTGTGGCCTCTCGTGCCCCTCCCGTGCCCCCCCGTGCCCTCCCTTGTCCTCCCGTGCCCTCCCTTGTCCTCCCATGCCGTCTCTTCCTGCCCAATCTCAACTCTATGCGCCTGCTCGCACACACACTTCCTCTGTGTGTATCCTCCCAGCCCTCTCTACCACAAACCCTCCGCCTCCCCCTCCCCCCCTTTCTGCCACACCAAGGCTGTAGCCACATGTGAGCTACTTGCTGGAACATGCAGGCTCACAAATGTATCGTGCTTCCTCACTGCCCTCTCGCCTCATGTACCCCTGTTTATGCATGCTCTCCCCCGCCTCTCTCTCCCTCCTCTCCTCTATCACCCTCCCGCCTTGCCCAGACGGCAGCGAGCTTTGAGCCGCTGCACAAGCTGCAGGCGCACAACAGCTACGTGCTCAAGTGCCTGCTCTCGCCCGAATTCTCCGACCCCAACAGGTGTGCTTCCAGCCCCAACAGGTGTGCTTCCAGCCCCAACAGGTGCGCTTCCAGCCTTGTATCGGTGCAGGAATGTTCTCTAGGTCTTCCAGGGAACACAGCAGCTATGTGCTCAAGTGCCTGCTCTCGCCCGAATTCTCCGACCCCAACAGGTATGTTCAGGCCTGCTGTCTGTCTGCCCCAACAGACCCGCTGCCTGCCTTCCATTGGTGCAGGCATGGTCTCTAGAATTCGCTGCAGGCGCACAACAGCTATGTGCTCAAGTGCCTGCTCTCGCCTGAATTCTCCAACCCCAACCAGTGTGTTGTCCATGCCACTCAGCAGCACGCTCTAATCCTCCCTGAACCTCACACTGCCCGCTCTAAACGTTTCAAGTCTTTTGCTGCTTGTACATATACTTGCGCTGCTTTCACACGCTGAATCTGTGAGTTAGATGTTTTGCACTTTTTACTTTCTTCCTCTCCTCCTTCCTCCTTTCCACATCCACGCTTTATCCCCTCGTCATCCCCCTTATTTTCACTCCTTGAATCCCTTCTTTGCCGCCCCCCCCCATAACTCTCGTTATAAGTCATTACCTCACCCTTCCCCCCCCCCCCCCCCCGCCCCCTCCCTTTGCCCCCTCATCAACCCTGTTGAACCCTATTTTGCCCACTCCATCCCTCTTTACCACTGCATCTTACCCTGATCCGTGTTTTCTTCCGTACCTCTTGACCCCTCCGTCCTCTTTATTAGATACCTCGCTACAGCATCAGCAGATGGCACAGTGAAGATATGGAATGCAGATGGGTTTACCTTGGAGAGAACACTCACAGGTAAACGTGATTCCAGGCCTCGGTGAACCCTCAACCTCTCTAAAATCCTGCAATATAAAGTATACGCCCGCAAACCTAACAGTACAAATTCATGTTTCTGTTTGTTGCTCTTTACATCTGCCTACTCCAACTTTGCTATACTCAGAAACCCAACATCTGCCAATCCATCACCCCAATCATTCTTCACGGCCATCTTTCTCAGGCCATGCCAGATGGGTGTGGGACTGTGTGTTTTCCATTGATGGGGCCTACCTCGTCTCAGGTATGTTACGTGCTTCTAATGTGCTCATTTTTAGCACGGTGGGTGCATGAAGAAGGGTGCGGGCGTTGCTTGTTTCATTTCTGCCTGTGGGGCCCGCTTTGTGCTTCACAATAAAATGCTGGAGGATTCCTTTCATGCTGCTATGGCGATTGACCACTCCATTTCCTCTCTCTCACCGCCTCCCACATTGCAGCATCAGTTATGGTGTGTGTCGCGTGAGGGAGCTAGGAATTAGAGACACCTCGTTCCCTCAACCTCCTGCCCGCCCCTCCCGTCCACCCTCCTCCCAACGCCTCGCTCCACTTCCCCACCCCACCCCCCCTGCTTCATCCTTTCAGCCTCCTCGGACGGCACGTCTCGCCTGTGGGAGCAAGCTAGCAGCAGCTGTGTGCGCGTGTACCAGGGCCACCTAAAATTCTCTGCCTCTGTTCCCCCCTCACCCACTTGCCCCCTCTCCCCATTTGTCCCCTTTGCACCTCTGCAGCGTCATCTGATGGCACGTCTCGCATGTGGGAGCTAGCGAGTGGCAACTGTGTGCGCGTGTACCAGGGCCACCTAAACTTCTCTACCTCTGTTCCCCCCTCACCCACTTGCCCCCTCTCCCCATGTGTCCCTTTTTGCACCTCTGCAGCGTCATCTGATGGCACATCGCGGCTGTGGGAGCAAGCTAGCGGCAACTGTGTGCGCGTGTACCAGGGCCACCTAACACTCTCGCCCCCCTTCTCCCCATTTGTCCCCTTTGCACCTCTGCAGCGTCATCGGACGGCACGTCGCGGCTGTGGGAGCTGGCGAGCGGCAACTGTGTGCGTGTGTACCAGGGCCACCAGAAGGCTGTTGTGTGCTGCGCTCTCAACGACGGCACCGACCTCCCACCTGCATGACGTGATACCTCCCGCCTGCATGACATGATGATACCTACCTCCCTGTCTGGATCAGGGCCTCAGAAGTCAGCGAAAAAAGGCTGATTTGGGTAAAAAAGGCTGAGATTTCAGACCTTTTTTAGAACTGTGGCTGATTATTCAGCATTTTTCTGTGAAAAAACAGGAAAAAATATGTGATTTGTAGTGTAAACTGGCATATAATGGCAGATTTTTCTGATTTTTAGCAAATTTTTTTGTACCAACTCTGATTGGTTCAGCCTAGCTCAAAACCAATCTGAGGCCCTGGTCTGGATATGATTATATGTTGTGTTATATAACTACCTGTAGGATTTACTGTAGTGTAGTTCTATCCTTTGTGTTGGTACACCTTTTTCTATGCCTATACGGAATGTTTCTCCATTTCTATAGTGAATCTCCTCCATACTCCATTCTCCTTTCGTTTGACAAGCCCATTCTCCTAAGCACGTCCTTTCCTAATCTAAGAACCTATTTAGAAAGCTTGCTTTCTTGCATGTAGCAATTGGCATCGTCTCATTTCAAATGGGTTTAGTACAATTGAAATCCATAGTGATATTACAAAGATATGCCTCTATGTTCCTACGGCTATCCTGTTTCCGAGGGGGGGGGGGGGGGGGGGGAAAATCGGCTAAACCGTTTGAAAATGAGAGACGTGGGTGGAGGGAAATGACCTCCAGCCCACGTTTTGTACTCCAAAACGGGCGTTTAGCGCGGCTCGACGCTGCCAAATCCTACATTACAAGCAGCTTCGCTTTCAAAATACATAATTTTGAAAAGCGTTACAGCTTTTAAAAATATACATATTTCAATACTCCTCCCGTCTCAAAGTTAGCGAACAACGGAATAATTGGAATAGAAACGAATGGGGTACAAATGAGCAACCCTAGAAGCTGTACCCCCTAGAGTGCAACTCACTATAGCCTATCATATCAATGTTCAACATTTGACACACCCCCATAGGCTAAGTGAGGGGCATCAAAGCAAGCAAGGTGAACAAACGGTCACAAGACCAGTCAAACCAAGAACCAAGGCAAGCTCAGGGTGGATCTCAAGGACACCACACAAATTCCGAGCGGAAGCAAGCGGCCACAAGGCCAGTTCAAGAGTTCACTAGGATATAAATACAAAGCACAACAAGCAGAGCAAGCAACAGGACTACACCAACCGAGGGCCTACCTCAACAAGCCCCAACTGCACACAGAACCTGTGGTGGTCACCAAGCGCCAAGGCCTTGGTGAAGACGTCTGCAATGTTGGCCTCTGAGGCCACAAAGTCCAGGCGTGCCTGACCGCGTCGCTGCAGCTCTCGCAGGAGGAAGTACCTCACGTCAATATGCTTCACTCTGCTCTCCAGTCGAGGCTCTCGACACAGGAGGATCATGGCCTTGTTGTCAGCGTACAAGGTCGGTGCAGAGCGAGGCCGCTCACCAAGGTCAGCGAGCAAGAAGGTCAACCAGCGAAGCTCCTGTGCCGCCATGGCACCAGCGTAGATCTCTGCCTCTGCACTGGAAGTAGCCACAGACGACGACCGTGTAGACCTCCACGACACAGCACCAGCTCCCAGACTGAAGCAGTAACCCTGAGTCGAACGCTGAGTCTCCACGTCGTCAGCGTAGGAAGAGTCGCAGTGACCAGTCAACGCCACTGGCTGAGTCCCTCCAAGCACAAGCCCCAAGCCTGATGTAGTCGCCAGGTACTTCGCCACCCTCACAGCAGCTGTCCAGTGGACAGGGCGGTGTCTCCCAGTCGCAACAAAGCGAGAAAGGATGCTGAGTGGAAAGGCGAGGTCCGGTCGAGTACAAGTCATCAGGTACATGAGGCAGCCCACCAGCTCTGCGTAGGGTCCACTGGACTCAAAGGGCTCGTCAGGAAAGGGGCCCGTGAGTCTGTGGTCAACAGCAAGAGGAGTGGGCTGTGTGGTGGAGAACTGGAAGTGGAACCGCCGAAGGACCTGCTGCACCATGTGTGACTGCGTCAGTGTGATGGTGCGAGCGGCTCTGTCCCGGGTGATCTGCAGGCCAAGGTAGCGCTGCAGCTCACCCAGGTCAGTGCACTTGTGTCTCTTCTGCAGTTCGGACTTCACCTGAGCCAGGGCTGCCCTGTCTGCTGTAGCAAGCACCAAGTCGTCGACGTAGACAAGGATAAAGAAAGGAGTAGAACCCGCTCGAACAAACAGCGACGGGTCGGCGGAGGACGGGCTGAACCCAAGGTCACAAAGCGTGGAGCAAAGAGTGTCGTGCCACTCACGGGGCGACTGGCGGAGACCGTAGACTGGTCGCCTCAGGCTCCACTGGGTCCCAGGTGGGAAGGTGTCAGTGAAGCCAGGAGGACGGCGCAGCCAGATCTCCTCGTGCAGTCGGCCCTGGAGGAACGCAGTGGAGAAGTCGAGGGAGTGCAGCTCGTAGTCTCGCTGCGCTGCTATGTGGAGTAACACCCGAAGAGTAGTCATCTTCGGGGTCGGGGCGAAGGTCTGGAAGAAGTCAACTCCCTCACGCTGACTGAAACCCCTAGCCACGTAGCGCGCCTTGAACACCGGCGGTGCTCCAGGCGGCCGCTTCACCTTGAAGAGCCACATGCCATCGACTACGTTCGCCCTGGGAGGGGGAACTGCGTCGACGTAGGTGCCTGTGGATCTCCAAGACGCCAACTCTGAGTCCATAGCCGCTTTCCACTGAGAGGCCCACGCCCCTGACACTGCCTCGCGGTAAGTGCGAGGAGTCGGTATGTCAAGGGCGTCGGGGTCTCCCTCAGGGGAGAGCAGCATGGCACACACAGAGGGAGAAGCGGCTGCCCAGTACTCCAGCTCAGACTCTCTGTCCTCTAGGACGTCACAGCCAAGGGCAAACCCACCCCCGACGGACAGAGGACGGTAGGGAGGAGCTGGCACCACACGGGTGGCGTAGTCAAGGCGGCTGGCGGCAGCAAACTCAGCGACAGCGGCAGTGAGAGCCGAGACAGACGACGGAGGGAAACGAGGGTCGGTGACAAGAGTGGTGAGGACACGTGCGGCAACAGGACGAACAGCGCAGTAGTAGTCAGAGATAGGAGTGGGGAGGGCAGGTAGAGAGGACGGAGGAGGAGACGGGAGAACGGACACAGGAGAAGGAGAACGACGACGAGACGAACAAAGGAGGGAGTGTGGAGGTCAGTAACAGGGGACGAGTGACGAGCACGCGGAGGACAACGAGTGATCAAGTCGCGACGGACAGAGGGAGGAGGAGACTGAGGAGGAGGAGAAGACCAGACCGCCGGACGGTCGTCAGGAGGAGGCAACGGAGGAACAAACACAGGAGGAGACTGGGAGCGGACAGGAGGAGAGGAGGAAAGGCCAAGGGCCCGCAAGCCACTCACAGGTGGGAACAACCGCCGCTCTAGAGGAAGCTGCGGTGGCGGCTGCGGCCGCTGCGGTTGCGGCTGCGGCTGCTGCTGCTGCTGCGGCTGTGGCTGCGGCTGCGGCTGCGGCTGCTGCTGCTGCTGCTGCTGCTGCTGCTGCTGCTGCTGCTGCTGCTGCTGCTTCTGCTGCTGCTGCTGCTGCTGCTGCTGCTGCTGCTGCTGCTGCTGCTGCTGCTGCCGCTGCTGCTCCAGAAGGTCCAGCACCCGCAGCTCCTGCCGCTCCCTCTCCAACCGCTCCTGCTCCTCACGCTCACGCCGACGGGCAGCCTGGAGACGCGTGTCGTGGCGGTGGGGGGGCGGGGTGGACTCCGCAGAACCAGGGTCTCCAGCGTCAGTCTCCTCAGACTCAGCACCCCCAGAACCAGTACCGCCAGTGCTAGGACCTCCAACTCCAGCACCCCCAGAACTAGCACCGCTAGTGCCAGCACCCCCAACTCCAGCACCCCCAGAACCAGCACCTCCAGTGCCGGCACCTCCAGCTCCAGTACCCCCAGAGCTAGCGCCACCTGCGCCAGCACCTCCAGCTCCAGCACCCCCAGAGCTAGCGTCACCTGCGCCAGCACCTCCAGCTCCAGTACCCCGCGACCGAGCACCCCCAGACCGAGCACCGCCAGCGGCTGCACCTCCAGCTCCAACACCAACCGAGTCCACAGTAACCTGTCGCGGAAGTGCCGAAGGCTGCTGAGGGGACTGTGAGGAGGACTGCGGG